TTTTTTTAAATAGAACTACCCATTTTTCATTAGCTCATGGAATGCAGCTTGAAACGCTGCACATGCACCGTAAATTGTTTTTTTCTTACTTGCGACGTTGGGAGATTATCGCCATTTTAGTGAAATTTTGCTTAAAAACATGGTATATACAAATTAATTGTAGAAGCAAGAAAAAGCAGTTAAAGATTCAAAAAATACGTCTTTCCAATCACCACAGATCCGTTAAGAATTCTATTGAATCAAAATATCAATACATTGTACAGGGTGTTAACAATGTGGACTTAAATCCAAAACTTTTTAACTCAATATAACTTTTGTTTTTCAAATGGAAGTACCTGTATATTAATACGTCATTAGATTAAAAATTTACAAAGTTATAAATTTGCATTTACACTTTAAGCTGTGAAATCAACCGTTTTCAAATTATAATTAATTTTATTTAAAAATTTCAAAAAGTTGTTACATTTTGTAAGGTGGCTATGAAATTCAATATATTCAATATTCAATAAGTTTCAAAATTTGATGACACTTGACATAATCAATGAAGAAAAGAGCGACGTTTTATAAATGATAATGATGATTGGAAAGACGTAATTTTTTGCATTTTCAAGTGCTTTTTTTGGTTCTACAATGAATTTTTAGATACCATGTTTTTAAGCGAAATTTTGCTGAAATGGTGGCAATCTGCCAACGTCGCAAGTAAGATAAAACAATTTAAGGTGCATATGCAGCGTTTCAATCTGCATTCCATGAGCTAATGAAAAATGGGTAGTTATATTTAAAATAAATACACTTTGATCTTGCCTGGCCTTTCTGAGATAATCCGTATCATATGAAATATTTTAAAATGTGCGCACTTAGTGCGTCAACAACTTTTATATGAAACTATTTTTCGAAAGTTCAACACCAACGGAAATAATGGACTCTCTGGCACTAAAAAAGCCACCCTGTATGTAGCTTACCAGCTTCATGAGGAACTGAATAAACATAGGCGCCAGCATCTACGTATGAATGTTCTACAGCTCTTTTGTACCAAACTTCATCAATTGCCCTATTGTGTACGTGATGGAAATGTCTATGGGACATAAGATAAGATTATTGATGTCAACCATTAAATATTTTCGTCTATTTGGATCACAGGTTTTTCTTTGCGAACCAAGAGCATAAATGCTACGAAGCAATACGCAGCAATTAATATCTACAGTACTTTTGCTAGAAATTGATCGGTTAATTACTTGTGTATAGTTATACCAAAGTGAGATTAAAATGACATCAAGATGAAAATTAAATTCTGCCCGATACGAAAAGGTCGTTTTATAAACGTGCTTAGATAATTTTACTGTTTTGCTGCTTTATTATGATAACTTATACATTGTAAATGGAAATTTGGTTCACATATATTATATGTTTAATTGTACATACATACCTATTTGTTAAGTGACAAGAAAATTACTCGCTTGGACTCAATTTACATGTTCGAAACCTTGGGAAAATATTTGAAAATTTTTGGAAATCATTTAACATTATCTAAGTCATGCGTATTTTGTGGGGATGTGGTATTTTTTATTTTATATAAAACATTTCAGAAATAACGACAAACGTTTTGAAAGATTTCTTGTTTTTCCATTCATTTCCATTCATTCATTTCCATTTATGTTGTGTTATTGTAAAAATAAAAGGAATTCAAAAATTCTGAAAAAATTCAAACCCATAGGAAACTTGTAAAGTGAAAGCCAGTAGAAAATAAACTAAAATATAATATTTTTGCAATATGGTTTGATGCGCCACAATCCACATTTTGAATTATTTATTTTAAAATCTTATTAATTCTATTACAATGTTGATAAGTTTTTATTCTACCGGAGTGCTTTGCAACAAGCATTATCTGATCACAAAAATGGGACTATTAGTAACTGGAACATGTAGTTTTGAACATCTGTATATTTGCTGTTTCTAATTAATGCCAATCAGTTTTAAACAAATAATTTCATAATTTATTTAACGAATACTCACGTAGGTTCACGGTTCACACAAGATTAGACATTTTTAAAAAGTTGTGCTTTTATAAAATTGTCCAGTATAATATACGTTTTTATATATCTTGAGCCAGGAATATCATGAGCATGGAGCAGGTAAAACGAAGCTATCTATTTCAAAGACTTAGTTATATCAATAAACATTTCTATTTTCAGAACCTTTTGGAGACTAGAACTGAATAAAAGCGACTCATGTTATTCATTTGAATATTTTCCGTAATAAGCACAATTCTTCGGATGCACGAAATTCTTATAAGGACTCGAAACATGCTCGAAGGCATAATATGTCACATTCTTTAATAATTCTATAAACCTGCTGCATTCTTTACGGATTTACTCATTACTGAAATTTGCTAGTTTAGAAGTTATTACTCTCATTCAATCGAATTCGTTATATCATTGTGAAGATTTTCTTCTTCGTCAAATAGTCTCCAGAATATCATTGAAAAAAATACTTTGGATAAATATTCAAATAGTTATTAAAAATATCACTACTATGATCACTACAAGTATTTTACGGTCATAATTTATAGGTAAACGTAATTCTTTCATATAAACTTGTATTCAAAAATTCCCCAAACTACACACATAGAAATTTGTATCAGAAAATTGTTTTTTAGAAGTTATTTAGTTTTTTAGAAGTTATAGAAAATTGCTTTTTAGAAACTAAGGGAAAGCTAAATGTTCAAATGAATAATTGAGGGCAAGGCTGAGGATGATGGTGTCAGAATAAAAAAAATAGTCTTCAGAAATTTTAAATTATCGTTTTTATAAAGAAAATTATTTGATTCAACAGTTAGCATAATAATAATAATATTGAAATGCATTCAATTAATCAAAACTATCGTTTTTTTATTAAACATCAAATGCACTTGATAAAAAAAATATCAAATAATTATAATAAAATATCAGATTAAGGAGCACACGGTTGGTTATAACAGAAAAGCTCAAGATATCAGACTAGACTACAATATTTTCTTGATTTAATAGTCAACATTGTGCATGTGAATTTTAAAATATCTCCCGCAAGTAACATTTTTTACCATCGCAGAGATTGACTTCTCTAAAGAGCTCCAAAAATAAAATTTATCTGCTTTTAGGAAAGGAAATTCAAAAAAAGAGGAGCAAATTTTTATGAAATTTGATGCATATCTAGAGTTCCAAGTTAATAAACTGTGTTTTTTCTTGTTTCTCGTTTCAAATGTAAAACTTTTGAGCCGCATAAAAAAGTACACCTTTAAAACATTGCCGTATTTGTGTTTGTTGATCAAGCAATTTAAAAAAATGATATATTTGTCTTCAAAAACTGAAGAAATACTCCAAGGCCTCACAAACAGGTGGACTAAAATATGTCTTTAATGACCAAGTTTCCAGAAGAATTATGATATAATTTCTGGATCGGTTTAAAAGTACATTTACCAAAAATGGATATTTCATACTTTGTCAGTTTTAGCTGTAAGCCCACTATTTGTACTGATTTTTTCATCATTCTGTAGAACCTTGCCAAGCATACAGCTACAGTTAATTTTCCTTACCGTAAAGCGTGCCATCGATGTGTGCTAAATTGATTTTAAACTCACTTTGGAAGAACTCTACAATAATTTTGGTATAGTTTTGTAGCAACGATTTAATATTTTTGCCGTTCTTTCATCTTTTATTTATTCGCAAAATGCAGTATAGAAATTACGTGCAATTGAGTCGTAGTTTGTACCTTTCATAGATAGTGTTGTCTATGTTTTGCGGAAAAGTTTGCCATCTGGTAAGTCCACTGTGGGTAGCCATAAAAGCTACCACTATTCCATATTGTTTTATTAATTGAGCTCTGCGTGAAAATAATGCAAAATATTATTAGTGTTTTCATAAAATCGTAGGTAATTTATTACATAAATTTATAAATTAATTTTAAATAATCCCTTTTGTCTAAAATCCATTTTGTCTAAAATACTTGACGTCTAAAAAAAAGTAATTTGAAACAATTAAGTTTTTCAAAAAGTACACACACTTTTATTATTTTTTTTTAATTTTATGAAAGAATTTGTATTTATACAGGATGCCCCAAAAAAGTTATATCAATGCCAACTTTTTAAAATAGAAACCTCTCTTTTTTGTAATTTTATTCAGTTCTCTGGAGAACTTAATCATTTTTTATGTGGGTTTCCGGGAAATTGGCGTCTGAAAATCGTACGAAAAATTGCCACCCAAATTTATAAACTAATTAAAATTAAGGCTGACAGAGTTAAATTAGCGCCAAAATTGACAGCCATTGGTTTCTTCGCAATGCCCAAGCTTACGTACAACCTAATCTTGAACATTATTAACTACGTTTCCACTAATATTATCGTAATTTTCTGCCTAATTTTGGTTTGTGAGCTTTCAATGTTTCCAGCCGATTTACATAAACCTTGAAGTTTAAATAATCCCAGAAAAAGTTAGCCAAAGGTGCGCTCATGAGACTTCGGATGTCACTCTATTGGCTTTTTGTCGCCAAATGCTGCATAAAAAATTATTAGAATTTTGTGGACAACTGGATAATGACGTACAAGAGGGGTTTCTCTTTTAAAAACTGGCTCTGGTTATATCATCACTTTTTTATGACACCCTCTATAAATACAAACTAGTTCAGAAAATGCGCAATTTGAAACAAAAATTCACGGGTTCGAGCAATTTTTCGAAAAATAGACACCTTGTTTTTAAATAATAACATTGCCGCTGGCTGTATGAGTAGGTAATTACTTTAAAAAAATTATATAACTATTAATATTCTCTCGAAGAATTTAAAGAAACCTCTTGTATATATTTCGTTAAAGGTTTTATGCAGTGTGATCGTAAAGTATGGAAGAAATTAATTAAAGCCTATACAGATGAAGTTAAAAAAAATGATCGGACACTTCAAGCTTAATTTGTTAATACGTAACTTCCGAGAAAGTTATTTCTCATGCAGTAATTAATGTGTTTACAAATGACGTCGTACTTCGATTTTTTTATAATCGCAACCTGAGTATTTTAGGCTGCTATTTGAAAGGTCGAGCTGGATGTAGGACGATTAATGCTCTCATATGTCACATAACAATTTCAAATAGCCAAACATATTTCTTGGGTTCTTAAAATTTTCTTTAGAAAGCGATATTTTGCTCGGTTCTTTAATTAGTTAATTGTAGGAAGGGTGAACAAGTTGACTTTGCGTTACAATAATCGTGATAAGTACTAAGTGTAGCAGTTGATAGGCTTTGGTTGCATTTTTATTGCATTTCAAACTAAAATCGTGCGTCAAGTGGAACTCAAAGAAAGAAGAAAAAAAAGAAGTAAATAATATTATCATACTTTGTATATGTGTCCGAGCATTTTTTTCGTTCAACTGTATAGGCTTTATTTAACATTTTCCACACTTTAGGTTCACACTGTATTATTTATTTGCCGTGCGCAATGCATTGCTGGACAATTACACTTCAAGCGATCGATTTATTTTTCGTCAACACATTTGTAAACATTTAGAATAATCCCAACATATCTACGCACTGGTGGGGAGAGAGCGGGTTTAAAACCGCATAAAAAACAGTTTTTTTGCTTTCTTTCTGTAAATTGATCTAGAAATGACTGGTTAATCGCTGTTCGGAATTGCAGATTAACGTGTGCAATACAGTACATTGCAAGGTGTTTTTCTGTGAAGATTTTCAAAAATTAGTGCTATTTGTTTAGAAGAGTATGGAATATTTTGAGAAGAGTTTGGATTGGTGAACTACAGCTCTTGAAGTTTCTCCTGTAACAGAAGGTAAGTCGTTGTGCTTTATTTTTGGAAATCTAATTGTTCGGAGTGCGGATTTTACTTCGCATTGTTTCAGTCGATGAACTAAAATATTATACAATAAATTAAAATGGCCTATTTATACGTTGATGTCCTATTCCATTGGCAGCATGTAATAAACATTAGTACAAATAATATTCACCATGAATAGTCCTGAAATACAAGATAATAATGTGGGGGAATATTACACAAGTGCGTTTAGTACAAGTATACATGCAGAATTTTCTGATTTTCCTCCCGGAGCTTGTTCGGTTATTATTATATTATTATTATATCGTACTACCTTCATACCTTATACAAATTCGAATTTCTCCTTAATTAATTTGTTTCTGCGGAGCAGTTCAGTTCAATTCTCCAAACGCTAATTTGGCTATACAATGATTCAGTGCGAACTTTTTTTCAATTTCAAAATCATCCTTAGTTTAGAATTTTATTAGATTATTATTTGATTACTCCAATCTGACAAATTGACAATTCTTTAATTTAATAATTGCATGTAAAAGTTGCATATATACATTGAGATATCATATGTATGCTCTCAAACTTTTGTGTGTTTAATGTGGGAATTGTCGAAAGCCTTTGTTGGCGACAATTTTCCGAAATTCGCGTAGGTATGGCCATTTTGATGAAATATTGTAACAGTTTCTTTTCAGCTAAATTTGTGAATCGATGTGATGCTCACCTTTTCTGCATAATCAGATTATTTTAGGTAATTTTAGACAGGAAGAAAAATGTTCGCAAAATAAAAAGTCGCGTTTGTGTAAAGGTATGCACAAAATATTATCATAAACTGTTCTTACCTATAATTACGACACCTTTTTTTAATCAATTTTAATTTTTTGAGTCATTATCATGGCGTAACATTATGCCCAGGCAACATGAATTTCAAAATTCAAAGGACAAGTTTTACGATTCCAAACCCGGCACTTGGTTCCTAATGAATATTGCTCAAAAATTATTATTTTTATCTAGTTTTCATTTATTTTTTATTACTTAAGTATTTTTTTTTAAATAATTAACTGGACTAATGAATAAAAATACTAGTTTACAATTAGTATATGATTTTCAGTCTAATTCCACTTGTTGCAATTAATTCTTTACAAACTTTTAATTTTAAGGATTTTTATGAAGAAAATTTAGGCCCAAAAATTTATTTAAAAAAGCAACAGATTTTTGAATGAATCATAAATAATATTGGCAAAATTTGAATTGTTCGAATCGTCAATAAAACCCAAAGTGCTGCGTTTTAAAATTTGGGCTTAACAATGTTACTAAAGAAATTTTGTTTGTTATAAACATGATCTGTCCGGTAGTTTCTAGGGAAATAATCGAAAAATATAAACCTTTTGTGCGAATTCAACCCAATTTCATATAACATTTTTATATAATATAATAGTTTGTGCTGAAGGGTATCAGGCTAGATATATCAAAATGAGAGGCGATCGTATATACAAGTTCCGCTTGATAGAACTATGATATGTAAGAAATTCCGGGTTTTACTTGGTATTTTATACGCAACTTTTTAAAATTTCTTTTATTTGTGTCAATCCGAGGTGAAGGACTGAAATATGTCCGGATAGTATGCGATGGTTAATTATGGCTATTGAGTTTGTTTCTAAACATGTTGCGTAAAACTTGCTATTTATTATTTTAATTAAAATAGATTTTTCCTCGGAGAATACTGTTCGTATTGTAGGAACTCAAAACAGTTTCCTCGGGGTTATTTTGACAAAGTTTTGTAAAAAACGAAGCAATGAATTGATTTATTTTTATTGCATATCATGATTTAATCCCAAGGTAATCTCATCCTCAAATGCAATAAAAAATCATACGTTTCTTGACATTATCACTGCTTTATACATTTATTCTGGGAACCACCTGAGCAAAACAAGTAATTGATCAAAGAAATTAAATTAGCATTAATGACTAATACAAAAACATTTCTCTGTCTTATCGAGGAATGTTATATACTGTACCTGGATATCAGAGCCATCAATATAGACATAGGTCTTATATAATAAAAACAAGTTATTAGTGCAGTATTAAACAAATATGTGCAAAGATACATGGTTTATGAACTGTCTAGAAACACTAAGTAAATATGAATCATGCCATCTTATTACAAATTCTACAAACTCTTCCACTAAGATATAGACCCTAAAAGTAAACTGCTGTAAGTCGCCCCTTTTCTGAACTTTTTATTACTTGCTACCTATATTTTAATATGAAATATTTTTGTCTTGGGAATTCGTCCTCTCCGTTTCATTTGAATTTTTGGACGCTAAAAATCTTTATTTATAGTTTAATAGGTTTTTAACATGACTGATACCAAGCCCCTTAAAATAGTGCCTAATTCTCATAATTTTGACCATCAAACAATTTTTAAATATTTTTACCATTTCCCTGAAAACCCCTATTATTTTAGATCAATTTTTAATTAAATTAAACCTTGTCGAATGCGAAATGAATAAATGATAATGATGAATATATCAGACCACAAGTAGCCCATGTTAAACACAGTTGTGAAGTTTTTAATTAAAGATCTAAATTATTAATTCTTCAGTTCGCTTCTGATGAGCTTTAATTAAATTAAAGTTTTGTTTTATTAAAAAACTTATTACATATAGAAAACTTTCTATGTGTAATAAGAACCTAACTAGATTTCTTAGTTTAAGCCTCTAGCTATCTAAAAGTAGTTTTCTTGCGTCTTTATCATACAAATTGTTCATATGAATGTGTAAGAGCTGGCCGGTCCCTGGCGAACTCGAACATCAAAATGAGTTTCAAAGACACTATTTGAAGACCAAAATTTCAAAGTAATTTAATTAAAACTGATTTACGGCCGCGTCATTTACGGTCTATACCTGGGTATAGAGTGTTTTTTTTCTGAAAATTTGTTATTTGATTTGAACACCTTGTGTATATAAATAATTTGTGCATAATAGGTGGGAATTTTCAAAGTGCTTGCCATTCATAAAATTTCGTTAATAAAAAATTCCAACAAACTTAAGGTAATTATAGTATTGTTTTTGAAATGCAACGCATGTACTTGAAAAGTTTTACTTTCAGACTGGTTTACGGTTTGAGATCTTGGCTATAACAGTTTCTATATTCGACATTAGTGTTTCTATGGTTCATCTGGTCAAATCAGCAAATAAACAAAAAGTTTAATAAACACTCACCCCTTATCTTCTTTAGTAGTGGTTGTGATGTTTTCACTAAACCACACTGTAGTTTTTGCATCAGCTACCACTTTAGTGATCAACTTACGGTCACCTAAAAGAATTAAATGGTTTCAAAATATTTAATTTCTATAAATCCGAATTGGACAAATAATAGTTAAGAAAAATATATGTGAAACCTGATAAAATTTACAATAGTTCAGTTTTTAACCGTTTTTAATAGTTGAATTTTTAAATTTATTTACTTATGTTTTGTCCCAAATTGGAGCAATAATTTTTATACAATTATATTATTTCTTATATCATGTCAAAAACTTACACTCTCGAGACCATTTCCATCCAGGCCGGTCCATTTTCTTTAGGAAATACAAAAATTCTTCCTCTGCTGTTTCAAAGTAATGCTTGTCATCTAGGTCTTTGCAGTAGTGCCTAAGAAACACTTCTATTAATCAATGAGAAGGTAATATTATATAAAAGCAAAAAAAATCTAAATATATTTCTCTTTATTAATTATTTTATACAAAATGTTTAGAAAGTATCCAGGAAAAGTTAAAATTTATGCAACTGTGGGATAGTAAACGTTTTGGAGAATTTAATTGCAACTAATAAAACTGCTTATTAAAAAGTTTATTATACTGTTTTATGTGGAAAAAAATTACCGAATAAATTATTATGACTAGGTACTGATAAGTTTAAGAACTCTTCAAACACCATAGTCAGATAAAAAATTGAATAAATTTACTTAAATACTGATATTTAACAAAACTTTCCGTGTAAGCTGTGGACAATAAAAATAGACTTTTCAAATAAACAAATTAAATCAAGGCATAAATATAATAATCCACCTAAGTATAATTAATAACGTTTGTGACAAAAATAACAGATATTTTTTGAATTTCCCTTAAAGAAAAAAATTAAGTTTTAACACCCCAAACTAATAATTGACACTAAAACAATGTATATTACAAATGCGATCAAAATTGTTTTCTGATATTACATATAGTAATAAACGATCAGGTTCACCAAGACCAATTAAATAAATAGTCTTTCATAAAATTCTATAAACTTTATTGAAATTCAAATGCATTGAAGTAAATTAAAATAAGATCTAATCTAATAATGGAACCGGAAATATACAAATGCTTAAACATCAATTACATTCAGTTGTAGCTATGAAATAAAATTCAAATGCTATTGATTTGGTTGCTATTCTTCATCATTTCTCATATCATGCGTGTTTATAAGATAAATCATCTATCTACTTGGTTGATTAATTCTTGCAATTTAGCTAGCTACTATTTAGTATTGATATTGAAACTTACCATTCGGGATGGATAGCCCAATTGCCATTAAAAAATTGAGCTAGAGTGTGTGGCCCTTTATCGTTGGACCTTAGCCTGTGAATATCATTTTCTACAGAAGGTAACACCCCATAGAAGCCATATTTATCAGGTAACACAATAACTAAACTAAACGGTGTGTCATTGATTCCTCTGTAGTAATAATAACGGTTACTTATATGGATGCGTTTCTGAAATTATTTTTTCGGAATTAGTTAAAGTAGACGAATGTTTACGAATAATCGTGCCAATTTTTGAACTTACAATGTCATCTAAATGGCTCTTGACCCTCAGCGTTATATTTCCTTTTTTCTGCATAATAATTTTCTTTCGCAAGTCCCGTATTTCTTCATTAAATCTTCTAGGCTCACTGTCGTCATCGAGTATTTCAACCTCCATGAAATCTACCCGATTGTACGCCGGTTTCAATATACCTTGGTACTAGAAATTCACATAAAGAGGGTTTATTTTGGTAAAATCTAATTTAAACTTGCGTAGTTGTAATAATTGAACTCAGACAGTCTGTAACTGTTTCGTTATTTAAAACGACATTATTTTACTATTGTTCATGCGAAATAATATCTACTAAATCTAGATTTTTTGCAGCAAATATCATTAACCATCATTTTTATTGTAAGATTTATAGACTGTTTGGCAGCATCTATGTTCTTATTATATTATATTTCTAAAACTTGTTATACAAATGTACTTTTTCTAATCTAGAGATTAACTTTTCGCATTTAATTCCAAAGTTTGACAAAATAAATCTACTCTAAAGTAGTGCATCCAATACAGCTTTAACCTCACCAAAATGAAGATCAATAATTGCTATTTGAGAAAGAAAATTACAATTTTTGTAGCCAAATAAATTATGATGGTATTCTACAATTTAATGCATAACTGGGTTAATGATCCAAGATATTGGATATAGTTAGAATATAGTCGAAATTTGAGATTTATCTTGGGTACTTCAGTTTTGTTTTCGTTCTCTCACTTTAATTTTTGTATATGCATTTATTGTCTATTTTTTTGGTCAGATTCAATGTGATTCAAATTTTTCATATAAAATTAATTAGTGAACTCATGTCACTTATTTTATTATTTGAATAATATTTTCTTTTGTGGTATTGAATTATTTGCCTTATTGTAGTTTTTTAGGCTGTTTGTTGTTTGAGCGCTTTCATCTGCTGACTTACTTTGCTATTTTTTCTATACTTATATTTTCTTGTATGTTATTACTTACATTATAGGTTTCAACGCGTATAAATACACGCAAAAAAGCAATCTCTCCTTACGCTACTAAAATTGAGGAATTTTCTCAATTGTACAGCAGATACGTAAATAGAATAATGTGTTTATTAGAACTCTGTTTCTTTTACGTACTTTGTGTGTAAAAGATACATTTTCTGGTATTTAAACTTACCACAGGTCTAAGGTCCGGATGAGTCAAAATATAGCCATTATTTGTGACAATAAAACCATAACCGTTTACACCCAACTGAAATAAATTAACATTGATTATAATGAAATTTATCAAATTTAATTAATTTTACAAAAGTTGAAATATGACGAAATTACTTACTCTGTGTGGAAGCATTAATCTTTGTATATATTCTATTGGAACATCAGTACCAGCTACGCCTAATAAATTTGCCACTCTCTCCTAAAAACCATCGAAATAGTCAATTTAACAGATACGATTTTGATTTGCCATAACTTCACGTTCGTTAGGCTCCTGTTAGCTGTTTCGGGTTAGTTATTAAAGGATATTTAAATTTTTTGAAAATTGTGGTTCTGAAAATATTTATTATCTCTTTTATCGGTTTTTTTAATTTTATCTGTATCTAAAATATCTGTAACTCTCAACCGCTGTTTTGTGCGTCATTTTCAAGTTTATATCGACAGTAGCTCAAACAGTTAGCGCCTTTGCAGTGAAAAATGCAAATAGCTGTGGTTTAGTGAAAATTTTCATCAGTTTGGTAATTGAACCTGTAACTAAACCAAAGCTTTCCGATAAAAGCGATTTAGTTTGTCTTAGTAGATTAGATATAGAATAAATTAGATATTACTCAAAATATAGTTGATTTATCGGTTTTGTGAGATGCAAATTATAAATAATTTCATCAACATTGTTGATATTTAGTTTCAATTCTGGAAACGTGTAAATTGAATCCCCTGCTCCGAAGAAGTTTTTTTAAGAAATTATCGTAATATCAGCATTTGGTTGCCCAAATTAACATGCGCAGCGTACACAGAGATGAAATATTTAGTAGTTCACACTTGATCTTAAAAATTGCTAATATATGTAGAATCATTTAAGGATTTGGGTACGAAATATAAAAAATAGTTAATTATATATACACACATATAATAATTTTAAAATGATACAGTTAAGAAATTGGCAATAATTTCATTATATTTAAGTTACATTAATTAGTTGATCTGCCATTTAGTGAAAATAAAGATCACTCTTTAAGTGTGATTTGATTTGAACTTGAGAAGTCAAGAGCTTTAAAGGGACAAGCATTCTCACTTAGTTAAGAAAATTAGAAATAATTTCTATTGAACTTTCGTTAATTGTATTTGCCGCTGCAAAAGTGAATATTTCTGGACATGTTTATCTGCTATATTAAGTTGGGAAATTTTATTAAGACTGAAAAACGAGAAATAAATAAATAATGAATAACCTTTTATTAATATCGGTAAACTGGTGAAAAGCAAGCATATTATTAATTTGTATTGCAGTAAAGATTCAAAATTACTGCCAATAAATCGACAATTCACATATTTGATGTAGCAAAACCTGAAAGTAAATATATATTTTCGATTCTAGTTGCATCATTACTTTGCCATCATTGTGGCAAAAAGTTTCAAATGGTTTATAAAACAATTCGTTTCCTTACGATTTTGGACCGGTTTTTAGAAAATTTTACAAATATTCTGAATATTTGTATGAACTGAATTCAAATATAATAAGCTGTTGGTTGAATATTTTTGTAGATATGTTGCCACTTTCTAGCTAAGTATTTCACTTTAATATTACCATATAAAAAGTATAACTTATCAAAAGTAGAACTGAAAGTGGAAAATTTGGCAAATTTTCTTTTATTTGATTTGAATATCCACACGCCAGATTACCTAACATTATCATTTGACTTTAAGTAAGTTTAAAGTAACAATATTCATTAGTCCTACATTCAGAAAGCACTAAGTTAATTTGGAATAAATTTATGTTACAGTAAAGCAGCACAAACAGCTCTACTTCGCAAGTTTTGTATCCTAATATAATTTACGTATTTCTAAGACATATTGCCAATTAACAAATAGTTCAATCGCCTATTCTAGTTCTAAAAAACTCTATGCTCTACTGGACTCTATTCAGTGGTCTATACCTAAGTGTTTTATCATAAACGGCTAAAAACTCCATAAAAATACTCTACTCTGGACTGGAAAACGGGGCCACTGCTAAATATCACGCTTGCTGGCCTAAAATTCGTCTAGAATCTCTAATAATTAACACTGGCCTAATAGCGATTTTCATAGATTACCTCTCTGGTGACCGTTATCCATACTGCTTCGTTTATTTGCTTTTTTTCGGTTATATTCTGCAGATATATTTGAAGAAATTGTTAACTATAGATAATGCAGAGTAAGGAATTTGCCGTCGTTTTTACTTTTTTTCTATATTGGGCCATTAAAAGAATAAGGTCTTTGGCAAATTCCTTATGACACTTCAAATATTATCTAGTGTAAATTCAAGTAGTCAGTAACTAATTTACCTGACGGGGTTTTTTGTCATATACTGGTAATGACACGGAAGTCATCAGGTTGTAAGTTTGAGTCTCTCCATAATGGTCTTGTTTCTGGAACGGGAATTTATTTACAGTATACTTAAAAAAATTTTTTTTATAATTGTTGATATCGACAAGCATACAAGGAATATGAGAAACATTCTTGAATTAGGTGTCTAGTTCTAGGAGGTCTAGTAAAAGTGCATTGAAGCTTTTTCATGCAAGCTTTGAATATTTAAAAAATTGTTTTTAAATATTCAACAGTACATTTTTATGGCATTTCAATTTTAATAATTTTTATGAATGAGAACTTCAATTCTGGACTCAAAATCACCTACTAACAGTAGCACGATATACAGTAAGGTTGGAACAAATTCACCTAAAATTCAGCGTTTTGTTTTTCTTTGGGGACTTCTACTTGCATTTTTGAAAGATATATTTCTGACGGTTATTTTATTTATACAGATAATTTGATTATACAAAATCATTTGATAAGCTCAATATTTTAGTCAAAATAAATATGATTCTAAGGATAACCGGATTCTTAAGACAAACAATATTTTACCATTAATTTTTATCGGTATAATTTCTAAAAAATTTAATGTAAATTTAGCAACACAGAATTGTGCGTTTATTTACTAATTTTTTTTTGATTATCGGATTTTTGTTTGACAACGATTATTTTAGTCAAAAATAAAATTATTTTACGGTGAAAATGTAAATTAAAAAAAATAGCTATGTAAAAGAGGAGTAATGCATAGAAATATTATAGGAGGACATAACAGTAGAAGTTATTTAGTTAAGTTATTTTGATAATTAGTAAAGTCTTTATCAGCAGAAAAGAAAGTTACAAAGCTAAGAATCTCACAGCTCCCTAAAACACACAAATGAAATATATTGCTTCATTCACAAGAATAGCACGCAGAATCAACTGGACAAGTAATTTTAGGAAAGTTAGTGCGTAAAGCCTCCGCCCAAAAATATTAACAAAAGAACAAATGAGGACCCCGCGAGTAAAATCAGCAAAACTGGAGCAGAGTATTTCCCTTTCGTCCGCGTTTTCCTAATTTATTTAAAAATATTTTAGTTATTTTGGTCACAAATTTAACTTTGAACTGATGAAACAATTTCCAAGCAATTAGCATTTTTTTTTAGTTTATTGACCGAAAAACATGGCATATGTCCGGCCTTGCGTACAATTCTATTGATTAATTTGAAAGTTTGCGTTTTAAAAACAATTTATTTTCAAATTATTACAAACGATAGATTCTAGTTGTAACCGAACCTTAACTAAGACTTATATCTCGTCGACCGCAAATCTTTAGAATGAATATCTATAGACTAAAGACTATCTGAGATTGAATTGTCGTTTCTGCTGTGGCTTGTTTTATAAGTTCAGTTTCTTGACCGATATTGGCTAATTGCAGGATGGTTGATTTTTCTTAGGAATTCGGTCTGGGCAGTGGTGAAGAAAAAGAAAAACTTTTTTAGCTACCAAGCCTTCGGCAATTTATTGTCGCTTTCCTCAGGGTGCTAATTGTTTCTCGATAAGAAGGCTGGGAACTCTCCAGAATATTTCGTAAAATTAAATATTTCATGAAGCTGTACAAAAAAATGATATGAAATATTCTGAAGGGTTCCCGGCCTTCTTATCAACAATAAATTGCCGAAAGCTTGATGGCTAAAAAGTTTTTCCTTTGCTTCACCACTGCCCAGACCGAATTCCCAAGAAAAATCAACCATCCTACTTCTTTTATAGTTAAATTATGCTGATCCTAGCAGAAACGATACTACGTCTTATTTTATAAGAATAGTCCATATAATTGTACACATGAAATGAAACGTACACATTTTTCCAAATACAAACCAACGTATTAAATGATTTTAAATAAATGTGTTTTGTATATTCATTCAGTGCTCGTATTAAACTTCTGTTTAGTTTTTTTCACAGGGGTTGCAAACTCAAACTCGAAAAACTCGTAACTAAAAGTGCTTAGATAATAGTAGATACACAAAAATAAACAAAATTATTTCCCTTTGATGCTTCGTAAAAATAAGTGGATAAAAATAAAGTTCACGTTAGAAAACTCCATTTCCTTAATTTGATTGATGAAAATTCGGCTTGAATAAATGCCTTTAGAAATGTTATAAAATATCGAAATATTAATTAATAATATGTACTTATATCAAAATAAATATGTGAGATAACTTCTTGAAATCGGGTTTCAATGAAATATTTCAGAAATTACACCTATTTAAAAGATGATTAACGCATGAATAAAAACGAAAACAGACAGCTTATATTTCAACCATTAAGCTACGATTAAAACCAAATATATCATTGAATTAAAGCATGCATACGATGGATATTAGATTTATATTCCCAAAATTCAAAAATAAAAATTCGTTTTCGTATAAGTATTTTTAAGCTTATGCATTACATTTTCAAATATGGATACAAATATTTAGAAACCATTGAAATTTAAAGAGAAAGTAAATTGGATCATGAAAATATGACACATCTTGTTGCACAGGAGCTCTCCATTAATAATCGCCAAACAATCTTCATTAACTTCAGGAATTTAATGAAGAGGAATAACGAGAAGTACATTGAATTATTTCTTGCATGACAGAAAGAAAACAAAATTCTGTTTCAATGATTCGATAAAGCAGCAACATTAATATTAAATATATTTTGATTCAAATTCCTTCAAACAACAAAAACTTCGTAGGCTTACCAGTTTCTGTTGATGAACAAACTTCTTATCGATCTCATTTGGAGACATCAAATCCTTGTATTTACTAAATATGAGATATCTATCTCGCTGAGTAAATCTTTGTCTATTAACCCACAACCAGTTGGTCAGTTTCGGGTCGGTAACGTCCGCGTATACTGGTGACCATGCTGGATTTGGCTTTTGGTTAGCATTTAGTACCATTGGTCGTGCCATTACTGGAATGTAGTGCAGAACTTCTTCGCGCACTTCTGCATATGTGCTCAGATGAACGTAGTAGCCTAAATATAGACGGATTTTCAATATATTATTATACTTTAAAAGTAGTCCACTCGTTTTGCCACGAACTGTATTCTACTCACCTTGATTGGCGCAAGCCATCCACTTAACATCCCTTGGATCGCTCACCTCTCGTCCCACAAGATAGGTAAATAATCTCACAGTTACGACTGGAAGATTGTCCCAATTGTACTTTTCGAAAACATCTTTGTAATTATCTTGTGATCCGTCCGTTATCAACATTATTGCTTGATTACAATTAGCTCCTAGAACAAATTTTCATTTATAGTTTGGTTTTTCTTTTTTTTTTAGCTTAAATAATCCTTACCCAGCTTTGACTCGCGATATTCCGCCAGAATTTCAAAAGCTGTTGCCAGAGCTAATGTAAAATTTGCGATTTGTTCTGTTTTGAAATCGCTCATGCTTTCTTTGAGTATTCGGATGTTGCCTAGATTTGCCTAAAAGTCGACGCAATTTGCTATTTATTTGCAAAACCAACGTCTATTCTCACTGCATATATAAACAATTTGAATTGTATTCTTTGAAGACCGACTTGTGTGAAATGCACGTTGATGGCAGTTTATAAACCTTGCACTTTATTGTTTCAGCGTTTGTTATTAAGTTTACAAAGAAATTTATCTACCTACTATGAAAATATCTTTGCTTTGAATTCCATTTGATTAATGCGGCTAATCTGTCTGTTATGTATTGAAAAACGCAATAAAATAGGTATTTGCATAGGATATTCCGAGTTAACTCAATAGTTTTTGCAATGTTTTGAAATATATTTTGTTACTATTTGTATAAATGTTGTTACAAAACCCTTTAAGTTTGTTGTGTTCACGAGATCAAGTGTGAAAGTAGAAAGGCAAAAAGAAAATAAGCAGTTTATATAATCAACTTATTGATTTCTTCTGTAAAGTCTTCTTTTTTCTTCTGCAGTATTTTTTTCTAAACAAAAATTATCTAGTTTTTCTATTTTCGTGCAGCTTCACTCAAAGAGTTTTGTAAAAATTACATTATGATCTTTTTTTAAAATTAATTAATTAGTAATAAAATGCCTTATTGATATAGTTAAAAGTTCAGATTTAAGCACAATAACGCATTCGAAATTTCATGAATTTGCAACATTTGCATGCATTCAACATGCTTGCCACGAATCTAGTTCTCAAAAGATAAACTAAATAATAATTAAGTTAACTTCTAAAGTCCCTCTAAATATAAACATTCAGTAATTTGATGATTGGTTCGCTAATTATTTGTTTTTTGCTGGCTGATAGATATTAATTGAATATGAGTTTATATGTATGTAAAGTCCAATAAATTAGCTTCAATTCCATTAAAAATATTCGGTCTATAAACTTGAATAAATTACTGTTTATCTAGGAAAGCAGTAGTTAAGGATAGCAAATATCTTTTTGCGAGTAATATAAAGAAGACTAGTCAAATCATTTTTCATTGATAACAGGTAAAGTTTAAAATTTAAAGTTAGAAAGAAGCATGAATTGAAATCACAGAAATTTTAGCAAATATCTAAATACATTCGTTCAAGGTAAAAAATTTTCACTACGTTTCACATATAAATTCTCATTATTGTCGGATGTTTCAAGGTATCATACAGGGTGGCCCAGGTTAAGCGGCAATAATTTTCCTGGGGGAACGTGCATACGAAACTCTCATTAAAAAACTTTCCTTGCAGATGTGCTTAGCACAAAAGTAGTGTATTAAAGTTTGGAAAAATAAATCGATATAATTTTTAAACCATTTATTTAATTTCCAGCAACTTTTGTACAAGTCTTTACGCAATGGAAAGTTTTAGAATTTTGTACACGTAGAACTCTAATAGTAAAAACATGAAAAGAAGGATTAATAAAAGTTTTACATTTTTAATCGTTTTTTTAAATAAATGATCAAGCCACTTAAACATGTTTTTATCATTTTAAAATCTTTTGTGTCGTTATTGTTTAAATAAAGAAGGAGGGGAGCCTGCCAGTTCACGCTCCACCGATGGACTGAAAAACTATATCAATCATTACATAGCTATCTATTACAGTACTACAGTACGATGTACACAAATTTCGAAAGAAACTGAATCTCTGTTAGGAGACATCTGCGACAAAAAAAATTTTAATTACTACTTTATTGTTTAATTTTTTTAAATTGCAGTTTATTTTTACGTCTCATATCTATTAGAATTAATGATTTTATTACGATAAAATATAATAATATATAAAGAATAAACAAATTATAGGTTTAATCTGGACCACTCTGTATATTTTGTATACATAGGGTGTCCGGTGACTCGCTGGCCATAGCTTAAGAGCGTAGTTGTGGCTCAATTTTAAGACAAAAATGCCTCGTTGTCTGACAGATACAGATAAGATTTCTTATACGCTCTTTAGCTATTAAAAATCGAATTACCGGACACCCTGTACACAAGGTTTAATAATATTGTTGCAGTAAACAACTATTTGTTTCGTCGCCTCAGAAGACTCGATAACTCGAGTATGTAATGTAACTATTTTTTCTTTATTATAAAATGACATTTTCATATTTATCCATATTAATTTTTTATGGTATTGCAATAGGTAAAGCAAGATGAAATAGTACGACAATCCCTAATGATTAAAACTGGTTACTGAAGTCTCCTAAGGTTTTATTTTAACTAACTTTCAAACGTAATAAAACAAATACAATTCGACTAGTTGTTTTACCTTCTATGGGTGGTAGTAATTTGCAACAGAGAACACTGATCTGATGAATGAGTTGTTTAGAAATATGATAAAAGGACAGGGAAAACCAACTTTGTTTTACTTTTGTCAAATTGCAGAAAACTCAACTTTTTCCTTAGACTTGGTTTAGCAGCAAACATAACTTTTCTTTCCAATTTCACTAAATATATTTTCAGTTAAAGCTAAAAGTGTCAGGTTTGCCCTTTAGTTCATAAATTAAAAGAATTGCTTTATCAATATGTAGAGCTTGATGGCGAAATCGACTTGAAATAATTTTTTTCTATTCAAATAACTGATATAAATATGATCTGCTCGAATCGCGTTTACTGGAAAATTTTTCGCATTATATGGGGGTTACGACAAAGACAAATTATAACAAAATGTATCACATCTATTTTGCCCACATCCACTTTTCATCAATCAATCCATCAGAGCGTTTTCACTTTATATATACGTCCGATCCATGCATGTACATGAAATCTGCTCGTACTCCAATTGACCTTTTTAAGAATATACATTTTATCTTCAACATCAAACATGTGTAGATCACATTTACGCAAAACTATTTGATAGGACGGTACTGGAAATTCGAGCAGATTGTACCATGACTGGCAATGTCTATCGTCTCATAAAACACCTACATGCTGTACGAATATTTGTCCAAGTCAAGCAATTTGGAGGTTCCCAGCTACTTGCATTCATTATCATTAAAAATACTTACTTGAACCAATTTACCACTAAAACACTCGATCAAAGGATCGGTAGTGTTGCTAAATGTGTAAATGTTGACGTAATCATTGTTTCCCAAAGTATCTAAAATATTATGGACTACATGGCGGGCTATCTCACGTCTCATCCCTGAAAATGATCCACCTTAAACATATATGTATCCTTTCAACGGAATATTTGTCTTCAGAACAGAAACTACCCATGCATGTCTACGCTACACATTTATCAAGTGTTCAATTCGTTAATAGCATTCATTGTAAATATTTGTTGGCATGTCCTGGTTCCGTTTGTACTGTATGTTAAGTACTAGAGAATGCATTCAGTGTTTCTGAAGAAGTGCAACTAACCTGTCATTGAACCTGATCGGTCTACTAATATAAGTATATCTTTGGGCGAGGATGCCGCTTCTATGTACCAACTACGAGTACGACAATCAAATAGATCTACTGGTTGTTGTGACCAGATCATAGCTAAAACATAATTATTTTCAAATTTAGTTGTTTTAAAACAATCTCTCAGCTACTGTTTATTTGATATAATAGAATTTTCAAGTTTTACCAGGAAACTGTCTCATAAATCCAGTCGAACTACCAAAATACTGCCATGATAATGTGGGATCAAGCTTATAATTGTTCCTAAAGGTCTTGTCCAGTTCTTCAGACCACATTATTCCAGATATCACATCTTTTGCTAAAATATTCCTTGCCGTTTCAATATATCCGAATATTAGTTAACTTAACTTACATCTTTCATACACATTACTTGGAACATGGACGGCGCTATTATTAATATTAACCGGAATGTTATAGAAATGCTTATTCTTATACAGAGGTAGCATTGTTTTATCAACTGGCTGCGTTTGACTGGCTTGTGGATGTTTCTCTACATCTTCAGTTATCTATAGAAACAGTTTTCATTGATTGTTCAGCTGCCCCAATACTGTAAAAATGTAGTTACCTCAATATCAGTCTCATAAATTATGTCTCTGTTATCCAGGGGACTCTGGTCTCTTTGGTATATTTCCACACCTTCAGGAGGCATTTTTTGATGATAACTTTGCTCAATCTGGAGACTACCAAGCAACGAATCATCGTAACGAATATCTTGTGATGACGCGAGATCGTTTAACTGAAAATATTTATAATCATATTAATATGAAATGTAGTTGGTGCAAATTCGTGGAATCAGCATTGCTATCTATTTGGGTAACTATAAAGACAGACTAACAGCTTCGATTAAAGGAGGGCAAAGTTCCACATCTTATTGCTGGAAATTTTGAACAACTCTCTAAGGAAAAAATGCCAGTAGTTAATGTTTCTATAGGGCAATTCTTAAAGAAATTGGGAATTTGAATTTTTACACCAGTTATTGCGAAAAACCCTTCAATGATACGCTTTATACAGGACGGTACAGGAAAAGGCTTCTCGTCTTTTTACTAAGCAACATATAAGATAATTTTAATTAGTTTTCAGATAACTTCTGGTTTCTCACAGTTATTAAATTTTTTTAACGCAAGCCTTTGGAGCGTAATAAGTGAATCTAATATAGTGTCTTTTTGAAAATATTCTAAACTGAATTAATATCATCGGAAAATTTCTAGGAATTCAACAACAAATTATTATCAACTGCGACTCACTATTGGAATAATTAAATTGTTTGCTTATTAAAGTCCAACAAACAATATTTTGTTTATTTGAATATATCTGTTTTCTATTTTTATAATTCTTGTTTTCTTTTTCTCGTCTTTGTTTTACAGTGCTTTGAACATTTTGTTTCAAACTTTTTTGCATCAAAATATGCCACCTTATTTCATAGAATTTATTGAGAGATTAATTTGAGACATTGATTTAGGTCACAAATGAATTTAACTTCGCCTACGCCTAACTTTGCCTTTTTGTTAGTGTGTAAATTCCCTGCTTATTATCAACATTAAATTTACTTGATTCATAATATCTGCTGCTATCTTCGAACGGCAAATCTAAGGGGAACTAGGAGCTAGTCTAAATGGGAAGAACAACATCTGCTTTGTTACAAAAATCACCAGAGGAAGAAAAGCCTTCATTAGCACCAATAAAAATTGCTATAATAAGATCTAGCCATAAAAATACGAAAACTTGACGAATAAAATAAAAATAAAATGCAATGGATTACTATAATATTGTTATAAAAACAATTAGGTGCATTTTTTCCAGTTTTGTTTTGCCAGACATTTTTCTAAAGTAGAACCTTCTTTTAACGTTTATCTTCCTGGATAAACCGGATTGACAAAAATATTCATTTTTGGTTTATAATAGGAAAGTAAATATTTTTGATTCGCGCATTCTTTACAAATTCTCTCTCAAAATGTTGACATTAGTCCTAAGAATCTCTAAAATTTCCTTTGATTTGCCCACTGTAAAGCCAGAAACCTTTATTTCAGAAAAGGAAAACATTTATTAGAGTGTATATTTAAATTACATAGCGTTTCGATTTCAGGAAAATAAACATGTTAATGGCACATTAGAGTGTTAACTCTTCTTGCAAATGCCATTTAAACGCAAATTTTACAAACGAAATACAGTCAACATATTTTGAACGATACGATATATTGATTTGAATACGTTTGAATCAAGTGGGTAGAATTGCAAGTTCGAGCCTCAAATTCATTGATTATTGTTCTGAAATATGAATAATTTAATTTATGGATTATTTATTATAAAATTATTATTTACAAAAAAAAACGTATGATTGGTCAAAAATTTGAAAATATAAAGAGATTACTTGATTAATAAATACAGACAGTGAATCCGTTTACGAAAAAACTTTCTTTTTGCTGTTGTCCATTTCTTTAGATCAGTTTATTAACTCGCTATTTCATTATTAAATCCGTTCTACCTGTTTTTTCTCAAAGGAAAATTGCGCGACGTTTTTTTATTGACGTTTTCTATTATATTTGTGCTATTTAAATACAAAAAAACATATAAATATGTTTTTGATTATCAATAAACCGACACTCTAGTCTCGAACAGTTAGGACATAAATATGTTATAATTCATTAAACGAAGCAAGAAAAACAAATATACAAAAAATACAAACGAAAAGGGAATTATTAATTATAGTATCTGCTATTTATTTCAGTAAGATAATGGAGCGCTAAATAATTATTTGAAGTTGAACTGAAAAAATGTAAAAAAAAACAAAAATAGTGAAAAAAACTACATTCTCTAAAGAAAATAATAAAGTTGATGACTACTTCTGGTAACCAGAAATGACACAGTAAATCTGATATTTATTTTTTATTTATTTGGTTCCCTTTGGACGGAGATACACACTTTTTGTCCAAAAGATTTAGCAAATGACAAGACGTATAATGTTAGTACTAAGACTAAGCATCTGTCTCGGACTAAATTTTAAACGTATATTTGAAAGGTGATCCAGCATTTAACTGTTATTACTTATAAACACACTACATACACATTATTCAGAAATACTTTTGCTTTGCGAATAACACAACTTTTTAAATACGAAATAGTTGCTCTTTGACAGTGAGTGTGGAAATAAATTTACCCCAGTAAAGTTAGAAGCAGTATATATATAACATGGGGTACAAATTTTGCCAGTATTGAAAACAATGATGTTTTTGAGATGTACCTAAATACCAAGCAGAATAGCAATAAATATCAAACATTTTCTTCAAATTTCGTGGAATTCTTCCCAAAATCTTCAATATTCCGGAATATTTCAGCTTTATATTTCAGGAACAATTCAGTTATATTTATATCTATAATGAATTATTGGTGTTTTGTTTTTACATCATGGCCTTAATAAATAAAAAGCTATATGTATTTTACCTCATTCTCGTCAGACCCTGTAATATTTTGTGCCGAATTTGTTAGATTTTTCGCGTTGTAGAACTGAAAATTTATATTAATATCATCCTCCTTTTGGGCTTTGGCTGCTTGCTCGGCTATATCCATTATTCGCTAAAAATGTAAGTTATTTCACTTTAATGGTCGAATTGTTTTGCACTTTAGCCGTTACTCACCCTTACAGCTTCCACCTTTTGCTTCATCATGTTGGATATTCGTTCATGAATGTCCGTTAAAAGCGAGTCCCCATCTTCCACAACGATTGTTGTGTCTTTAAAACTCTGGAAAAATAAACAAGAAATATTGTTTATGAACGAATTCTGGAACCGAAAGATTATGAGTTCCAAATGTAAATTTTCAAATTGATTAACTCATATAAATTTTCAACGTATGAACAGTTTACTTGAAATCCGATTTGATATTGCGCATTTATAAATACCTCATGTATATCAATAATTTCAACACAAATAAATAGTGCACATCTAAACTGGATGGTATATCACGTTCGAATCAACGCAAAATTTGAGTTACTACATGAATAAATAATGACCGTGTTGAAAAATGAAAAAAGAATCTTAAACGAAATATTTAAAGCATTGGATTGACTGAAATAAATCCGTCTGTGCTGAAGCAGATTTTTCATTTAAATGCCACTGGAAGTAAATATGAAGAATCTGCGCCCAAAGTCGAACCGAAAATGTTTAATTTATGCCTGGATTTTGCTCATATTGCTGGCCATAGATTACTACATTACATTTATAAACGCACAATCTTAAGATGCAAGTGAAGTTTATCGAGTGGCTGCAAATTACACGCATAAACTCCTATCATTTATTTAATTATTCAAATAGACATAAAATGTTAGTCAGAAAGCTTGAATAATTATAGTAAACAAAGTTATTATGGCTCAGATTTGCGCTAAACACATTTCGACTTGCTAGAGCTTTAAATACTTATTTAGACTTAGAAAATTTTAACGCTGCTTTGGAAATAAAGAAGATATATTGATTGTGTAGACAAGACTTGAGACATTTTCAAATTGTCGAAACTATTTCAATACAATACGATGTCTTAACGGCTGATAACGTGTTAGCGATTACATTAATAGTGTGAGAAAGCGGAAAAATACATCTCAAGGCGATTTTCGGCTTACCTAAATATCTTATATTTAGACAGATTTAGTAAACGTACAGGGTGATTTATAAACATTGAAAGGTAGTGGAACAGGTATTTCCAATTCGATGGAAAATTGATGATTTCAATATGCAAAATGCTCAAAAATTAACGAAGCCGATGGGTTTATCCAACTTTTAAAGGGTTGCAGAATATATATTTTTCTTGCTGTTTGGAGAGCACAAATATCTTCCGAAGGTAATTTACTCGAAAGCTCACTACTAATAAGCTTTCGAGTCAACTCACTTTGAAAATCTCTCGTGAAAATATCAGCGATCAATTCTATTCTACGGCAGCCTAAAAGCCCGCAAAATTGATCAAATTCAGGGAATGCCCCCCAAAGCCTGACTTGTTTGACAAAAGGTTAATTAATATAAGGAATACTTTTCGTATACTTGTGCTTGTTAACGTAGGTTAACGGAGGTAGTTAACCTAGTAGATATTATATAGCTTACTAACTAACCCAAACAAAGCACTTAAAATTGTTCCAATTATTATTAATTTTTTTTCATCATTTAATGAAAATTATATAAATGATAGGAAACGTTCCGAAATCCAGTCGCACAATATTATTTTGATACATTTACAACTACGCTCCTTTAAGAGTAAGAATAACTGTAGTCATTAAAACACTCTTAGCAATAAAATATCCAAACAGCAGCAGTTGAAAATATCTTCTGCTTTCAATACGATAGACAAGGTGTTATTTGAATAGTAAAGAGGTGATCCTCTGAGAGATTTTAAGAAGGAAATATCGTTTAAGAATGTCGCGAAATGATTAATTTTCAATTTAAAAGGTGTTGACATAAAAGCAATGATTTATCGTTACAAAATTATTAATTAGTTTTTGGATATTGGTTTAAATTTGGCTGTGCAATTCACACCTAAGGGACTACTTTGGCTACTTTAAATAGATTCAATAGATAATTATTAAGCTCAATGGGGTCCAGAAGGAAAAACTAGAATTTTCATCGGAGATTCATCCCCTGAACTACCGACTTAAAAAGCACACTGCGAAATAAATCTTTTTTTTCAAACACTTGTTTCTTGTTTTTAGAATGCTTTTTTTTTATTAAGGTCTTAAAGTCACACATTTTTCGCAGCAAACACAAAATGCAACACTTCGTGAAATGTATATCATGATCATGATCCTCTTCAATCTGTAAAAGCATTTAAAATATTAAATTTAAAAAACTCCAATACAAACGTAGGTTGAGCAGTTAAATGTGGCCAATTTGGTCCCACCTACCATATATTTTACTTTATTATCTGAACCACGTGTGGTAGCAAAAATTGTAAGATGTATTTTTTATTTGGGACTCAACAAGGAATTTGAGAAGTTTTTGTATTAATTAAAAATAGCTGTAGCGGACCATTTCTTTCCTTATCAATTTCGGTAGCGTATAGGTGCACAGGTCACTGGCAAAATTGAATAAAATAATTTTTATTATAAAACATACGTATTTCCTAGCTATTAATCCCTGGAAAATGTATCGATGCGTTTTGAAGAAACTTGATATTTTGCATTAGTAATTCAAATTTCAACACACTGTAAATCCGTATCAATGCATCTTTGGGCTATCTTTTACATAGCCAACAAAATAATGCCCCTTCCACATGAAACGTCTCGTACATGTAAAGTCTTTTGAGACAGTATAAAAATAAATTCTAGTTAACAAACGACACAATCGGATACCTTCAGTTAAAAATGCATCTTTTCTTCATCAAAATGCTTGGCTTGAAAGACTGCAGTAATTGAATATCACTTGTCTAATTAATAAACTAAAAGCAAAAAACACAAACAAAATTTTGTTTTTTTTTGACAAAAAGTCAATCGAAATTTCACTTTAAAAAAAATTGATGCGACCGTAACTGAAATCGAGTCTAAAATCGACCTATGGAAATAATTTACATCAAATGCACCACATCTTTATTGCAGCAGATTTGATTCTGGTAAATTTACTTTATCGTGCAGTAAAATAAATCGCTGATTTCATATATACGCGAAAATAATCGTGAGCTTAAAGCTAACACTGACCAAGTCTAAAATATTAATTTTTGGTAAATGTACTTTTAAACCGATCCAAAAATTATATCAGAATCCTTTTGGAAATTTGGTCATTAAAAACATATTTTAGTGCACCCGTTTGTGTGGCCTTGGGGGACTTTTTCAGTTTTTGAACATAAACATATTATTTTTTTTAATTACTTGGTCAACCAAACCACAAATACTGCAATTTTGGACTTTTAGCACTTTTAGCTTTAAACCCAATTATATCTCCAACTAAAAATGATTGGCTCAATAATGATGTAGCGAATTTGACTCGCTATAGCTCAATTTCCATTGATTTAGCTTTTTTGATACATGACTCACTGATTTTAGTTCAAACGACTAATATGGCATCTTGGTGTTTTTTTTAAACACTTGATGAGGAAAGGATACATTTTAAGCCAATGTTGCCATAGTTTTTATATGCATATATAATTTTCGGATCCGTTAATTTCACTCACGCCCATGCCATGCCAACATTCTGACGGTTAAATGTGATTCAACCAATTCAACCAGGCAGTTTTTTTATATTTCTTCAAAATGTCTTGCACATCTATACTTTATTAAATATTCATTGTCATGCGTGTCTTTTTTTATTTTATTAACTATATTAACCCATACCAATTTCCTATAAATATATTTTCAAGTTCCAATTGTCTATTTCTTCGAAGTATTTTGATTTACATTTTTAATATTTACAATGCAAATACTTCCAATATTCGACAGAACGTTTGAAAACAACTTACATTTTTCACTTGATCTTTCCTAGTAACCATCTCTCCAAAATGCCATAGTTCTCCGCTTAATTTGTTTGCCCAACTTTGAACTCTATAAAAAACGAATTGTTTTTTAATTTGAACACGAACTGAATATAAATAACATTTTGAGAACTTAAATAACACATGCTCTATTACATGAACAAACAAGCTTATTTCCAAGTAGCAATAATTGTTATTTGGTTTATTTTAGAAGGAATGTACTTTAAAAAATGGTTTGTTTAACATTGAGTTTAACATCAAAGGCTTACTGATCCTATTGGTATTAAAAATTGAATAATTTGAAGTACATATTTTTTCAAAATAATCATCCATACATTCGTAAATGTGAAATCAGTACTTACACTTTGGAGAGTTCAGGATGTTGTTTAGTATCCCTGTTTTCATCTTGCGCTAATCCAAAAGACGACATACACAAAAACATAGTTATGAAAACATTTTTTCGATGTTTCATTTCTCGCAGCCACGAAATACGAAACTGGAATGATAAAAATGCGATCAATCCGAATAAAATCGATTTTTTTTCACATCAATTCTCCCGGTTTTCCGTCTTGGTGTGGGTATGTTATTGCAATGGCGATTGTTTATTATGGTACAATTGAAAGATCGTTTCACTACTCTACACTTTAACAAGCACTTATGAGAACGCTTAAATTTTGACTTTGAATCGTGTTGAACTAAATTGGATTAAGTCGGTGTTTTCAATGGCAGGAATCGTTTTTCTGCGAATACGGGAGAATGCGGGAGTTTCAGTAGGGCGAATCGATATTTCGAAGTTGCGCGCACCAGTTCTCTCCCAGAAACACATCCGATATTGTCTGCGCTATAGGATAGACTCGAAAAGTTTTGGTATGCGCGACAATAATCCTACAACAATTATTTTCGAAAAAACGATGTATTTATTCTGCATTTGCGTTTTTTATAGAAATTCCGTAGCGACTATAAGTATGTTATTCGCTCAATTAAACTGGAAAATAGCTATATTTACTTGAAATATGTTTGATTATTTAAACATGTTATTGTGAGTCTTTGTTTATTACGTCGCAATTAGTATTTGGTGTATTTTTATGGTTTGTCAGTGGGATTTAAAATCCATCATGTTTGTATCTATTATAACAAAATATTAATTTATTTCATATGAAAATATTAAACTCTGTAAAAGAAAATATGGAGGTGTTTAATGGGAGGATTTGGGCTACAGAAGAAAATGATTAGGTCGAAAAACTGAGATATTCGCAGAAAACCGAACGCATAATTTTGGATATAATACTAGTGGATATAATTTTTGAATATAATAATATTGGCAAGATAAAATAAGAATAATTAATTGTTCCAACTTTTTCTAATTTAATGATATATCCCGTATTAATTTTCCGAATGCATTTCGTGTCTAGGCAAGTTTGGAACATCTATTTTTTTTTGCTAAGAACGGAAGGCCATGAGAAAATTTTAATGAGAAACCATGTAAAGGCTTGAACAATAAACCGTTGCTCAAACAAGGGAAATAAATGGTGCACATTATAAGTTTTGTAAAACTGCTGTCATTCTTGATTTATTTGTAAACGTTTTAACAATTCTAAAGTCTAAGTCCTAGAGAAGTCCTAAAGAGTGAGTTACATTCTTGCTCTTATATTACTAGAATAAATGCATTTAAATATTGTAATAAATAAAATTTGCCTCTTAGTATCGGGATGCTCGTACTTCGTCATCTTTGACATTTAAAATCTTTATGTATTCGCTGTTAATTTCTGGCTGGATCGAGTGATTAAAGTGTAAAATGAATAAGACATTTTTATCATCTACAAAAAGGAGGAAATCTTTAGCTATAGATTTTACAATATCCTTCTACATATTAAAAAACTATGCAAGAAAAACAGATCTGAAAAGTAGCAAATTTTAAATAATGTCTATTTTTTCCTGCATAATGTTTTTTCATAACATTTCTTCGGTTTCTGTTTATTTTCAGCAAACCAGTGACCATATTATATTTCTACTACTTTCTCTAAAATATATTGCGTTTTCAATAAAGCATTTAAGCACAAAAAGTGTCCTTAACATGTCCAAAAAAACTGATTGTCTCCTGAACTGTCCTAATAAAATAAATTGAACAGTTAGGAAATTATTAATATGTAAAATATGCTTTCGACATTAGTACAATTATGTTATATTGGATTAATCCATTTTTTTCACACAAAATTAACGTATTTAAAACACGATATTACTCTTTCACTTACTGATAAGAACACACGGGCGTCCAAAGGAAATCCGAATCCCATGGTAAAATGAAATGGCTTTTGCACTCGACACATTAAAAACAGCAATAGTTTCCTTAATTTTGGCTGATAATCTATCCATTCTAACTCGTAAATGCGATGTTGCAATTCGAAAACCTAAAAAGTACGTATCTATTTAAAATCAACCATATAAATTAGATTGAAAATTTTTTCTAATAAGAACTATTTTTTAGCATCGTATTACTTTTGGGTCGGTTTAATAATGATTAGCTTGCGGTTTGTTTTTAATTCTGTTGCCTACGTAAGTGTTTATTAAAAAAAAATTATATTTTATATTCGCAAGTAATAATTAATTGACGTAAACGATTAATTAATGAAAATATAGGTCAAATTCGAATTTAATTCCTTGTTATTATTTAGATTGTTTATTGTTATTATTAGATTAAGTATTTTTCAACGGTTTAAAACTTTTTAATATTGTTCCCACTTTAACAATTCGAAATATCAAAAATTTACATTACAAATGTTAGAAATCAAATCTCCATTAGTTAACGCATTTGCTTTCAATCCAGTTTTACACTTTTTGTAACTTTGACCAAATTTTCGAGTTGTATGTCCAATATCATGGACAAATCACTAGCGTCGTGTGTATTAAATTGAATGTTTGGTTTCATATTAGAAGAACAGAATAAATTTAAGTCATCGATTTCCTTTTGATAGTCATAATATCCATATCGACAGTTTTTCTGAACTTGACCACAAATAGCTCGGGGCTAATTGCATGAGGTGTATGCAGCATAAAAAATTAAGTAAATTTAATAAGGTTTTATGATCAATTAAAGCCTACCTCCAATGTAAACCCTTGATTATACCAGGAAACGATAAACATATCCGCACCAATAATCACAGCCATGGTCGATAAATAGCTCATCTCGGTGCTGGAAGTAACCTTTAATAAATTTATAGTTTCCATGTACTTTACTTTGTTAAAATTCTATGTATTCGTTATTAACTTACCACAGTGACTCTGTATACAGAACAGCAAATAACAATGCTCATTAAAAATTCTTGAATTAGCAGCTGATCAGAGAGATATGAATTTAATATTTCAGCACATCTAAAATTGCAGATCATATAACATTTATACAAAGCCGTTTTGTTCAAGAGTAAATAGTTACTTGTAAATTTCCTTCAAATCGTTGATTAACTTTATTATTCGTTGTTGTTTCAGCTCAATAATTTCATGGTGCTCTAACATCGGGTTAATGTTGTGATCCACGTACCCAAAAGCATATCCCAAAATTTTGATATGTGTGGTTAAATGTATAATTGCAGCCACAGATAAGTCTTCAATAGCTGAAAACATTTTATGAGCAAATGGTAATTTAAATTTTCTCACTTTTTCTGTTCATTTTTAAGGAAACCGTTCATTTGTGCAATGTGATAAACAATCTGTCATTGTAACATTGGTATTTGTTTATTATACCACATATATAAGACGTGGTTCTCATTACATTCTTCATTTTTTAGAGGTAAAAACTACTGGTCTGTTGAAATGATAAAATTATCTCAAAAGTGTTAACAAATATTTTTAAACCGGTTATTTATTTCCATTTTATTCTATTCAATCTATTTTATTCTATAGATAATATAAATCAATAATAACTCATAATAAAATTATTGATAAATTAATAGCGGTGGAAAGATTTCCATGTAAGTACTTGTGCTTCAAAATGGGAAACAGTGATAGCTATTCCATATGTCCCAAATGATCGATAATAAGCCACACTAAAATTCCAATCCGAAATAATACTCATATATTTATTATCGGTGAACCGAATAATCCGAATTTTGGCTTCTAACGTTTGAGATGATACGAATTTCTGATAAAAGCTAAGTAGTAAAAACGAGGTATATTGCCAAGATCATGTTGTGTAACGAACTTTTTAAAGTCACCTGAGGAGAGACTTTATGCTACGGGTTCTCGAAAATATATTTTCGGATCTGTTAAGAACATCTCATAAACTTGATTAGCGAAATATAGCCCACGAAAAGTCTAGAGAAATTTTTCTATAGAGTCAATATACACTTTCAACCGTTTGGGAGATGCGCTTTTTCGAAATCCAATCATCCGTTACACTTCTACCAGCTCTTGAGGTTTTAGGGTTTGAAATTTCAGAACACGCTTCATGAAATTTTTGACGATTTTTAAAACTTTAATGTTCGAAAATTTTATTATAAATCTATCACATCTTATTTTATTATTATATCATATTAAATCTTATTAATCAAATACAGGTTGCGTTAACAGCCTCTTGGAGACGAGGTCTTTAACTATTCTTTTAAAGGCGTATGTCGAGGCAATTTTTTTTGCAAACGCCTATTCTTGCATATTAAATTCATGTTCATACAAAAATGTATCAATTATTTAACATTGTGAAGAGCTATTGATAGGCCAAACCCTCCATTCTTTACTCTCACCTCCTTTTTTGGAGTTTCTCTCTATCAAAACTAAGGTATTTTTAAGCCTTTCTGAAGAAACTGCGACGTGTGAATGGTCGGTACTTTATTGGAGCATAATTAATCAACCATCGAACTAAATTAAATAATTTACTAAAATATAGTTCTCGGTTTGATCTATAATTTAGCTCACCCTCTATATAAATTAAACTGCTTGCAGATGCAATTTTTTTAATTGTCGAAAAGAAAAAAACTTATTTTGAAAAATATTTGCTTAAAGATGTATCGTATCGTATATATATTATTTTTCTCGGTCATCATCAATATTCAATCGTCGGATGCTATAATTGAACATTCGGCTTTATAATATCAACTGAGGATCCCGTAGATAAAACACATACATTAATAGGCATAAATACTTACATAAAAATGCGGCCATTATAAAAAAGAAGGCATAGGGCTGATAGAAGAATCCCAGCAAATAATATCCATCGGAAATCGACGTATCAAATGGATACCAGAGTGGATACGGATAATCTCGGTAAACAAATGTTTTATTACGAGCAGGATTCCATTTCTCATAAGTAGGGCCCATATAATTAAATGCGTATGATATGGATAAGTTCAAGACCACGTAAATTAAAAACACGATAGTGATGCGGAGGCAATGTATTTTGGATTTCTCCATTTTTTCCAGTTTATATTCGACAATTGGGTTTCTGCAATAATATCAATGTTAGCAAAAACAGAACAACAATATTAACATTTCTGCTTCAGCAACAAATACTCGCCTTATTGTTGGTTGTACTGGTTGGTTTGGTTGGTTTTCATTGGACTCTAGACAATTACTCTGATACTCAAACAAAGAGTAATCCATGCTAAGTTTCCTTATTCGTTCTAAAATTATGTCAAACTCTCCTTTTTTAAATAACCATCTTGACACTCTAGAATATTCCTCTGTTGATTAATTTCATTATTTCTTATTATAATTTTACCTATTAACCGCCATAAAATGTAACGCCGATACTCCCAAGTTCAAGATGTTTGCGCTAAATTCGCCACTACCTCCTATAAAAAGTTTGCTGATCTCCAAAAACGCAGAGCCACATGCTAGGATAAAATGGGGTGTTGCAATGATCCAATATATTATTTTTAACGTAAACTTTTTGGGGGGAATCAATAGGAACCAAGTGGAAATCTTATAATTTAAGTCGAAATAATCTGAAGAATCAGACATCGCAATCAGCATAAACTGCCTAGCAATTCTTACCTGCCCCTCATTTATATATCAGCTATTGGGATTTTTTAGATTGATTTTAATTATGCCTTTCGAAGCTAGCTGAATGTTATTGCTTAATAATATAAAGGTATTGGGGTTTGACCAAAAGTTAGTTATATGGAGATAATTGGGAAAAAGTTTTACATTTCATAATAAATTTATAATAATTATAAATAATGTAAGTAATAATTAGGTACTTACTTTATAGAATTATCTAATTACATTAGACCAAGTAGATAAAACGGTAATCATTAACCAATGTTTTTTGTCTTACATTTTAAGGGATTTTTGTTTGGGTTAGTGCAAATTGGGCGAACTAAAAATTCAGTTCCCGATTGAAAAAATTCAGTGAACAAGAAATGGTTTAATTTTTAAATATCCAAAAACAAGGCCCTGTTAATCTGTGAGTGAGAATTCCAAAACTAAGTCAAATAAAGCACATTTTCCAATTTCGCGAGTTATTTCTTCTAGTACTATATTAATTAAAAGGAATTGCTTTTACAACTTTACAAATTAACGTACATTTATCAGATTAAGGTAAATCAGAAAAAAACGATTTAGACAAGGAAACATTGTTAGTATAAAATTTTATCTAAAAAATTATTCTTAGAAAATAAAAAAATCTGTAAATTGTGTAGCAATATTTACATCTACAAATGTTTGTAAAAATGTTTACAGTAATTCAAAGTATTTAGAGAAATCTCGATACTTTCCGTGGCTTTTTTCAGGAAATTGTCAAAAGCTTTTCTAATTTTAGCGGGAATATTTCTCTTTGCCTTGCCACAGTTGCACCGCGTTTGCATTTTTTCCGCAGTTCCTCCTTGTTGTTAATTTCCACAGCATACACAAAGCGAAACTTACCAATGAAATATCCTATATAGAATCAACATCTTAGTTTAATGATTAAAAAGGTACATAGATTAAAGTTTTTCAAATCTGCTTGTAGTAACCCTAGCAGGAGCATTTTTGAAGAAAATGAAAACTTTTCTAGTAATAATATCTGATAAAATGCCGTCTTTTGTATTGACAATATATGTATTTAGGTTTATTACTTTAGATGTGCAGAATACTATAAGATCAAACTTCTGAGAATTGTTCAGTCCAATAAAAGAAGGCATGCGAAAAGAACCGAGTAAAATAAAATGTGCCTTTTCGTATTTTAGTGAATTTTACTTCAATTTACTATTATAACACATTAACATTCGATATAATGTGCTTCCACATTATAATAAGATGTCCAACTCGTGCCCATGTCTTATTTCTTATTTGTCTCGAAGAGCTATCATCCACAATTTCTTCATTATGAAACAAAATGTTTTAATCAATTATGATTTTTAAATGAATGCTTACAGCCTAACTAGATAAGAGTACGATTTGATGCCGCATATCCAGCCATAGTTTTTTCATTGTTTTATATTTCAAACGTCTTCATTGGAGAATTTCGAGCCGGATCGGGTGATTAAAGTGTAGAATGAGTATGATGTTTTGATCATCTGCAAAAAAATTAATTTTTTACTCTTTAATAGATAAATTCAAATGTTCAAATGTGAGTCACTTGTGCTTAAAGTTGATTGATGATCAGTTGATTCATCGAACAAAATTTTATAAAAGTATTTTAAATTGAAGTAGGAAAACGCAAATGACACAAAAACATAAGTTTTTAATACAATGGCACAATACCCTTAACCATTTCATTAAAATAATATCGATGAACTCCAATTACAATACGCAAAAGAAAAATATTGCCATATAATTTTGATAACGACTTATTGTTACTAACGGAAAGTCTAGAAAGCTATTCATCAAAATGTGCTACAAGCTGTGTTATAGAGCTGAATTTACAAAATCTTAAGAACGATTGGATACAAACAAGAATGTAAATGCTTCTTTTCCTGTATAAAAGTGCTAATTTTAAAACAAAGTTAACTATTAATGGTTTAAAAACGCCAAAATAAATCAAAATATCTTTGTTTTGACTAATTAGAACGTTTACTAAAGTAATGTATTTTYTTACTTACTAAAAGAAGTGCATTTTTGTCTTTCGGAAATATGTATRAGCTCCACAAGAAAATTAATAATATTTTTTTTAATATAACAACCATCGTTTTATTTTTTATTTTACAATATCGGAAACATAGCTCTTGTCTTCTACTTTCAACTCTAAAACACACTGTATTTGATMGCGCARTATTTGAGTAYCATTTTACTTAGGATTAGAACAAGTGCTTTAAATAGAAGTCAATCGTTTGTTTTAGGATCTGTTTTTAGCCTAGTAAAGACAATCGTAAAATCCGGTCTTACTCATAATGCACCATAACATTATACAAATCAAGAACAAATTGTGAAGAAAATKTGTTGACGATTTGTTTRTTTGTACAGCTAYACGCATCTCTGGYTACAAGCGTCCTATAAGCTCAATTCTTAAKTAATTTTTAGTGCATATTTTACAACTACTAAGTACAAAACATTCAGTYTTTAGCTGTTGTCATTCAATATAGTGGATTTTCCATACCAACAGTTTAAATAGTTTCGCATGTGTGTTTCTGGGTAGTGGTGGGTAAACGTTCAAAGAGAAGTAATTTAAAAAATATAGCTTGTGTTAATAATATGCTGTTGATAGAAAATGCGAATGCCCTGTCGTGTGATGTTTAAAAAATGGATTTGGCACAAAATTAAATTAAATTCGTAATTACAAACTTGTATGAAAAGTATAATTAGTGTTGTAAAATATGATTGCTGACAAACAAGACAAATTATTGCTGATTATCGAAAGTACACTACATGGAAACTACTACAAACAGTGACGATTTAATCTGATTCCGAATATTTTCAACGATTTAACACCTCGATAAATTAAGCAAATATTTGAAACAAATTAATTTAAAAATCTCAACAAATGACTATAACTTATAATAGGACCAATAGAGCTGATATGCTGTCAACTATTTATCACACATTGCTATATTATTGCAAATTGCATTTGTTTTCTAATTTCCTTCTCTTCTAACATGCGTGGAAGTTTATTGATTATTTTTGAGCTGATGGAAAGCACGGATTTTGGTCAAATTTTACTTACTGATAAAAAAACATTGACGTCTAAAGGGAACCCAAAACCCATAGTGAAGTTAAACGGTTTCTGCACACGGCACATTAAAAAGAGCAACACTCTTCTTAATTTTGGAGGGTAATCTATCCATTCCAATTCGTAAATGCGTTGTTGTATCTTGAAAAGCTGAAAACATATTTTTTTCATTAGATCTGATTCGAATGTATTTTGTACATTGTGCTTTGTACGTTGGTAAATTTCACAATTTTCATTAATATAAAAAGGAATAATTTTTAATAGTAGTTCATCTACGATCGCTCGATCTTTCAAGTATTACTTAATTTCCTACTGCTTGAAACAGTAAGGACAATAATAAAAATTATAGAAATTATGCAATACCCGTTGTCCATTCAGGTATATTTCCTTTATTATTTTTTATTGCTATGGAATAATGGAATTTTTGACCCATGTAGACCAATGAATATGGACTTTTAAACTAGTGAAAGTAATTGGTAAAGATAAAACACGAAATATATGTATAAACTGCAAATTCTGAAATAATCTAAAGATTATCTACAGATATTGAGATAATTGGAAAAAACATAAATATGCACAATTTTGATTTATTTCCTGACTGCGCGTAATTGTTATTATATTTTTTCTTTCCTGGGTTTCTTCCAGAAAAGATAAAAAAATATTCCAATAAAAGCAACTAATTCATACTTGGAAGCAATTCGCATAAATACTATGCATTTCGTTTTTTTCTGGATTTGCGATATTTTTTCCACATAAGCTTCATGCTCTACAAATTAATTAATTTCATTAATGCTAAAATCTGATCTTCTTCGCACTCGAAGCAATCCTAAAATGTATTGCCTTTGATGATATAATTGTTTTTAATTAATTTCTATACGCAAAATTAGTACTAACATCACTTAGGTAATATAATATTAATACATGTTCCAAAATATTGTGTCTTAAATATGTTTCGATTCTAAAAAAGTGTTCACAGTTTAGTTACACTGAAATACTTATCAAGTTTTACATATTATTTTATCTTTCAAGATTCCTAATATGTTCAAGATTGAACAATTCGATCTGATGACATCAAAATAATGAACATTCGTAAAACTGAAGCAAATAAAGTACTTTAATGATTTTGTTATGCGGGTAGTGCAACTTTAAGGAACCAATAATTACCTCCAGCGTAAAGCACTGATTAAACCAAGAGACAGTAAACATCTCTGCGACACATACTGCAACCATTGTTGACAAATACCCAATTTCCGCGGTAGATATATTCTTAAAAAGGCATTGTTTAGGCATAATTTATAGATTTAAAATTATCTGGTTATCTACATACCGTAGTAACTCTGTACACACAACAACACATAACAGTACTCATTAAAAATTCTTGCATTAATAGTTGTCCAGAAAAGACGGCGTTTAACTCCTTAGCACAGCTAAAAACAGAATTTATAATGAAATATTAAATAATGTTCTAATTTGCTGCGCGGATTAGTTACTTGTAAATTTCCTTTAGTTCCCCGCTCAATTTGATTATTCGTTTTTCCTTCAGCATAATAACTTTGCTGTAATCCAACATTGGATCAATATTTTCATCCACATAACTAAAAGCGTATCCCAGTATATTTACGTGTGTGGTCAAGTGTATTATGGTACCAACACATAAATATTCAATACCTAAAAATGTGCTTAGAATAAATGTGAAAGTATTTCTTCAAGGTGGTAATGTAAGAACTTCCTTCATTCCTCATACGTAAGAATAATTAAAAAAATATGTTTCCTACTTTTTACACGTTATGAAATTTAACCACTCTCTATGTATACTTACATTTATTATCTAAGGAAATACTTACAGAAAAATGCACACATTAAGCAAAAGAATGCATAGGGCTGATAAAAAAATCCGAGCAAGTAATGTCCATCTGAAACCGATGTATCAAATGGATATAATAATGGATATGGATAATCTCGATAAACAGAGGTTTTGTTGAGAAGTGGATTCCACTTTTCATATAAAGGGTTGCCATAATTTATTGCATAGGATATGGATATATTCAACGCAACGTTGATCAGAAATGTCAAAAATATTCCCAGACAATATCGTTTAGTTTCCAAAAGCTTGGTCGTCTTGTATTTAATAATTGCGTTTCTGAAATATGAAGAAGATACTCGTGAGAAGAATGACATTATTTGAAAATAATTCCTACGAAATAGCTGATGACGCTGTATCGTCTGCATATCGAAGTTTAAAACCTGTTGCCTGAGTGCAGTTGAGATTCCTCCATGCCATCTGTCCAATATATTCCTCATTGTGTATTCTTCACAAATGTTACATTTGTTTAAAATTATTATACATTTAGTCCAGTCGGATTAAATTGTTTTCCGAGCACTAAATAGATGAAGGTAAAATATTCTTGGAAGTTGTTTGGAATAGGCCTGGCTAACACTGTGTTGTGTGTGAGTTGATGCCGCTCTGTGAGTTAGTGAGTTACAGCTTATCGCACCTCACTGCGCCGCACCTCAAATTGCGCTTGTAGCGGAACAGTTCTTGAAATCAGAACTTCTAAAGGACATTTTTAATTAGTTGAAATTTCAGAAAATTCAGTTTCATTTTTAAGTGATTTATTAACACTTTTTTGCTTAGGCAATTATTTTTTGAAAAACACAATTAATTCCGCTATTAATTTTAATTTTGTCGTTGTGCATTAATCACTGCAGCTGAGTGAAATTGAGACAAATATAAATGGCTCTCAATTTAAAATTAGGTTCGTGAGAGATTGCCAATTGGAGCGTTTTTCGTTTAGTTTTCTTTTTAGTTGTTGACTAAAATTGACTTTCGTTGGAAGTTGGATCGTGAAATTTGCCTTTGGAAATATTGCCATGCGAAAAGGAACTTTTTACAAAAATGTCAACAATAAACAAATTGAAATCGAACTGCCAAGTAAAGCATGAATAATCGAATAATTAAATGATTAAGAGGTTTGTGAAAATGTAGTGAACTTCTTGAGGACCAGTGGGTAGAAAATGGAGGATAGGGCGCCAACTTTTTGAAAGCTGGTAAGAATGATCTCTAATCTTAATCTTAATACTTTTATTCAGGTATTAAAAATACCCGCAAAATGAGATCAACTGAATTAAAATACGGTCATTTGTTTACTCAAAAAATGAAACTTTTACGTTTTACGTTTTTTTAAGTGCTGCTGTTTTTTGCTTCAAAAAAATCGTACTACAACTTTTTTGAAGGTCTTTGTATACCTTATTATAGTGGTCGTATATACTAAGTGGTATAAATTTTAATTTAAAATATTCATAACTTTTTGTTAATTCCTATTTGTTATGTAAAAAGGGCTCTTGCCAGATTATAAATAAGTTTTTCTTGACACGACGGAGGGCCTCCTCTGAGGCTTCATTTTACTCGTCAAAAGTTATACTACAACGTACAATAAAGTAAAATTTAATTACTGAATGGTAAATTGTTTAAACATTAAGTTCAAAATCCGAAGTTTGTGTGAGCGGCGCTTCCAGCTGTCCCGCGGTTGATATTTGGCAATTAATCAACTTTTTATTTATTGTAACTTGTAGTATATAACTCTTTATGAGTAAAATAGATCCTTGGAGAAGTCGCTCCTACGTATCAACAAAAAATTAGTTAGAATCTGGCAACAGCCTTTTTTAATAACAAATGGAGATGAACAAAAAGTTATGAATATTTTAAGCTAAAATTTATATCACCTATAAAGTGTACAACGACCTTCAAAAAAAAATTTTTTTGAAGAAAAACTAAATTAATTATGGAAAATTACAAAAAAACCCTAAAATGGGCGGCTGTTTTTTTGTTTTTTGAGTAAACAAATCAACGGATTTTAATTTAGTTTGTCTTATATTGTAGGTATTTTTAATACTTAAAAAAACTATTAATTTTTTTTAAAAAGCACAAAACAATGTTCCAGAGTCGGAAATCGCGCTCAAACTATTGTCCCAATATTCCTACATCCTTCCCAACTTTCAATAATCTTTTACCTTCTATATCTAATAATCTAATTTAGATACATTTTTCTTATTTTTGATAATCAAAACGCATGCGAAAGCTAATGATGTTCTAAGTTTGGTTGATCTGTGATAAGGCATTGCTTAAAAAGTCCAAGGATTTTTTATAAATTTAACCGTTTTGCAGCTCCATCAAAATACTTTCGCATTATTTGCGTTTGGCACACACTTTATATGTTCAATTTTTAGAAAAAAAATTATCTTTTAAAATGGACGCTGAGCTACTATGTATAGTACCTTACAATATTTTTAATGAACATCTTCACGAATACTTAATGTAAGGGTTTTCAATAAATTCTCGATATTCTTAATAAAAGTCAGGGATCCGAACAGGAACCGATATGGACTCAAAACCGGAACAGAAGCGGTTTTGTTCTCGACGGGAACCGAAACTGAACCCACATATTTTATATTAACACACTAGTTAAGGGCTGAACCGGAACCGAAATATTTTCATTCAGTTGTTTTTCGGAACAGCTCGTAATGTCTGAAAGAAATTAATACTTGGCTTTTTGAAAATTTCCCTCTCGGTATCAAAAATTGAAAGCGAATTTTAGATTCAAAGATGGTTCGGGAAGTGTCACAATACGTATAATTGTTTAAAACTTTCAACTTCTTTTATTTTTATTTATTTCATGTTTATGTCAATTTTCAACTACGTTTCTAACGCTATTCGTAAATAATATGTTTTTTATTATTATCTAATAGTTGTTGGTTATAACAGTTTCTAGGGCTACTGACAAGAATGCAAGTTATTATTAAAGAAAACTAGTTCATCCAATAGCTATCTTCAGAAAAATGGAGAAAAGAAAAGTTATGCTGTTAAAAAATGAAGTGATTCTTGCTGGGAAACTTTTGGACCCTCGGTGTAAGGTAGTTTTAGGCGACAATCAAGTAGAAGAGCAAAGTGACATTTAAAGTCGTTATGTACTAGACTGATATGTTCTTACAAAAGTGCAATTCTTCCAATTCCGAATCTGGCCCTTACCATGAACTGAAAAAATTCACATCAAAACTTTAAACTCCCCAAAAGATTGTGAAGAGTGTAAAGGCACAAGCCGGAGAGAAAAATCTTTAAACGGAAATAAGACTGAAGTAATAGGAATTGGTTAAGAAAATAGTGGACTGAGTGAACACGGAATCAAAGAAAAAAGCACTAGTCAGAAAACTCAGTAAAAATGCTTTTCAAAAATACCACGATTGTATTTACCGTACAACCAGTCGAAGTACAGTATGAAGCAGTGGATCGTTGGCGCATCTTTTATCTTGTAGAATACAGCAAGCAAGGAAAAACATAATAGGATCCTAGATAGAGGATCTACATAGATTTTGGAACCGAAATTAACAAAAAAAAACCGGAACCGGAACTGAAGCGAATTGGAAAATATTTTCTTAACCGAATCGGACCGTAGATTGTTGGTTGCCTTGGAGCGGAACCGGAATGGAACATATATTTCGATTCGGTTCGGGTCCTAGGTAAAAGTATAATAGACAAAAAATACTCTGCTATTTTTTAGCATTAATCAAACTGCGCAAGTACTCTTACTTATATGACGATAACTTATTTTTTCGGGGGGAGAAAAACGAACTCAAAATTTCATATTGTACTCGTATAAGATAATAATACATACTCTGGTTCATTTGCATCCATTTTAAAGCCTGATTGATGACTTTGATAATCAAATAAAGAAAAGTCTGTGTTAATTTTTCTCAGATTTGCTAAGATAACTTCGAATTCGTTTTTGATTAAGAACCATCTTGAAACCCTACAACACCCTGTGTATTAAAAAATACTTACCACATATATGAGACACTAATATCAACGATTACCTGTTGGTTGCACATAAATGTAATGCGGATATCCCCAAATTTAGGATGTTGGAGCTAAATTCACCACTGCCACCCATAAACAGTTTACCGATTTCCAAAAACGCCGAGCCACATATTAAGAAAAAATGTGGTACTGCTACAATCCAATATATAATTTTCAGAATAGATATCTTGGGGGGTATCAACAGAAAGAAAGCTGAAATTCTATAGTTTAAATCAAAATAATCCATTAATTCAGCCTTTGTGTATGTCCGAAAGTCACAGAAATACTTCTAACATTATTCTCTAACAGAAACTGCCTTATTTATATACCACTGCTATAATGATTTTAATTAATTTTCTGGAAATTGGCTTAGGGGCAGATTGCGCAATGGCTTAATAACACATATTAGATATGATCGAAAATTCAATACATGAGGGTTTTAGGTAATTGACTAAACGTTCCTTTTACTTCAGTAAAAATTCAACATTAAATTGGGTACTTTCTTGGAATATTTTATAACCGCAATTAAGTAAAAACCCATGAAACATTTAATGTGCGCTTTTTGTAATTTATTAATATTTTTAGTTACTCAACGACCTCCGAACCAAGCTCGAACACAAATCTGCGATTGCAATACCTAATTAATTTTTCATGTAATTTTAAATATTTTTGTTGCATCTAGTTCCTAAAGCTAAAAGTACTTCCTAACGTAGCTTTAGCAAAGTTTTTAACGTGTATATTATAAACAGTCTAGAGTCTTTTAGTGGTTTTTGAACTGTTTAAAAGCTATTGATTAAAACAAAATAATTACTTACACCATTGATTAACTCAGCATACATATTGAGTACTCAATATACAGGGTGATTCACAAGCTTATGGACACAGAGCAGGGGCGTGTAGATGACCTCAAAATAAATCGAGTTTTCATTTAAGTTTTCTTTCTCAGGCCCATGGTTAAGAAGATACAGGGCGTTAAAGTTTTAAAAAAATGTTGGTATTTTTTCTCCTACAGTGTATAAGATATTTTGCGCATATTTTTAACGGAGGCTAATGTTTAGACCCGTAGGAAAGGCCACTAGTTGTGAAAATCTGCAGGGTGTAATTTTTTCTAGGGGCATACCCTATTTTACACCCCGAACTTTTTTGTGGTGCGCCAGTGACTTGGACCGAACAAATTTTTAAATTTGTTGTTCAATTTATTATTAGAATTTTCTGATCTCTTGCAGTTTTTTCGTTATCATTATTTTTTTGCATCCCTTTGTTCGCATTTTTTTGTGAAAGAAATTAATTTTATAATAAATTGAAATATTCCTTACATTTTTGCGTATTTTTATTTGGATTAGCTTACGGCAGATAAACGTCAATTATAGTAAATTAAATTAAAGTAAAACAAAAAATTAATTAACTCGTCAGCTATCCCTATTTTAACACACCCTGTAGATTTTACGCAAACAGAAGAGATACGCCGCTGCTCTGTGTCCATAAGGTTATGAATCGCCTTGTCTTTTGAGGATGGATTCTTTACATTATGGCAACAAATTGAAGTGATTCATAGAATAGACGTGTTTTTTTGTTGTTTTTACTTGCAGGTCTGTTGTAGGGAAATTTTATCAATGGGAACGTTTGTTGCTTTAAACAATATGAAAACGGGAAAATATTTTTGCGGTCATATAAATACTAATAATACATGGCAGAGTCTCTAATAATCCTTTTGCATGGATAAAATCTTACGATTAAATAAAGTAACGCTTGAAGGCGAATACTCAGAAGTTGCGGGGTCAAGACATGCCCATAGCAATATATCTGAAAATGTGTACATTTTATTACTTAAGTAAATATAATTTCATAAAATGTATAAGAAAGTACACTGATCGGCTGCAATTTAAACTGAAAAATTTTAAAAAACTTAAAATCATTAAAATGTTTACATTTTAGTGTAGCTGTTGCTCAATCAGATATAAGAAGTTTTTTCTTGTAAAGGATTTGTCATTATTCCTTCATTTAAAAAACCAATATTTAAAAAAATATATCAATGAATGTCTATTTTATTGTAAAGAGGAAGGTATGCCATTAACATTTGAAAACGATATAAACCAAATGACCTCCATGGCATATCCTTTTCATGAAATTTTACATGACCAATTCACACATTTGCGGTTGTATGTCCTCGATAACGAACGTAATTCACGAATTGCATCTTTAAGGTCTTGAATAGATTTATTGACTTTTTTCCGAGGTACTCAATTTATCACACAGAGTAATGATAATAAATGTTTATTGAACGTGATAATAACAAAAGACAAAAAACGTTTGAATATCGTTACGACCAACTAAACGCAGTTACTTTCCCGGAGGTTGTCACTTTACTCAGACGTTTTTTGTCTTTTGTTATTATCACGTTCAATAAACATTTATTATCATTACTCTGTGTGATCAATTGTTCGGAAGAAACTCAATAGGTTATGGGCCCAGCACGCTTCCACTGCGCGATAATATATTGTTAATAGACCAAGCTGGTTTAGTGAAGTTCGGTGATACTTAAATTCTGTGTTTAGTGCAAGTGACTCTCTGCTCAATCACGATGGCTGACAGAGATATTAGAGACAAGAATTTCACGATTTGGAAATTCGGTATCGTGATTGCTCTAAAAGCGAAAGATCTATATCGATTCGTAAACGGCACAGAAGCGAAGCCTGCAGAAGACAAAGAAGTAATGCTCAAGGAATGGGAAAAACGCTCAAATCAAGCACTCATGATGTTGCTCGGTTCTATTCTCAAGAGCCCACACTACAACCTTATGAGTTGTTCCACTCCTGAAGGAATGTGGAATAAAATCGAAACTCAATAAGATTGTGGAGCATTGGCATATACCTTACCTTTCGCGTGGTCCCAAAGAAAAAGTCTAAAGGTGTTAAATCACAAGATCTCGGTGGCCAATTGTGATCACCTCTTCGAGAAAAAACGCGGTCAGGAAACTTTTCTTGCAATATTGCGATTGCTCCGTTGCTTGTGTGGCACGTAGCGCCGTCTTGCTGAAAATAAACGTCGTCCACATCAATATCATCTAATTTCGGCCATAAAAAAATAATTAATCATAGCTCAGTAGCGCAATCCATTCACCATAACAGTTACACCAGCCTCACTTTCGAAAAAATAAGGTCCAATCACTGCCAGCCCAAAACTGCACCAAACAGCGATACGTTGAAGATGTCGTTGAGAGGCTTTTCAGCAATCATTCTTGGATTTTATGGGCCCCAATTATTACCCCTCATTACTGAAAATTATTTTCCGATGAAAATCCGGATCATTTTGATGCATTTGCAGGACCTAATCAGCGAAGAGACGACGTTTATGATAATCAACCGGCTTGAGTTCTTGTGTTAACTGAACTTTAAAAGCCTTAAAACTTAAGTTTTTATGTATATATCTTAAGATACGGTATAATTTCTAATTGCAAAGATCGACGAGGAATGGAGAAACCTGAGTTTTCTTTATCACTACGGGCTACAATAGCAATATTCTCAGTTCTTCTTGAGCGACGCACAAGTTTCAATTCGTCACATCACTAACTTGTCGCAACATCTGAAATTTTTCCACCAGTTTTACTATTGCCGGGCGAGAAGGTGCTTCACCACGACTGAAAAGTGCTTTAGTTTTTCGAACTGTGACTACAAAATTGTCACCATCTTTTCAGTGAATTTTAACAACTTCAGTGCTTGTTGAATCGTGTATCGTACCATTTTTAATTCGGGAGTTCAAAAGTCCAAACGCTCTCTGGTGGCTAAAATTATAAGTACAAATTGTAATTTTATTTTTACTAGTAATTTGACACTTGTTTTGTTGACATTGGTGTCACAGTGGTGTTTACATCTAAATTTGACTTGTTTTGATCTAATCAACTTTTGCAAGCTTTTCATTTGTGTTTTTTTTATTCAATTCGTTCATTTTTGTCGCGATTGCAACTCTACTTTTCGCTTGTTTACCAACTCCAATAGATAGCCAAGTCTTAACAGTCGGCAAAGTGTAATTTGACGTTTCGCAGCGCCCCCATCGGTAGTAGAACTCGCGAAAAATGACGCAGTTTTTACTTGTAAAATGTCAAATGATGACACCGTCAAAATTGATAGCTGACCAAATAACAGGCTATTCAAAATGAAACCTCTTATTGGAAAACCCTTTAGATGATCTGATTAATATTTATTCCCAAATTACAGGATTACAATAAATAAAATGATCATAAGACTAGTAAAATAGGTTTTCCAGTAAACAAAAAAAAGAAGTAACGGCGTGAAAATAAAAATACTGTTGATTTGATATATGTATTTTGAATTTGCTGAATTTATTATTTAAAAAAATACTAACCATTAAAAATATGCTATTCGTACAACACAGATATCTGACTTAGACGTGGTATATTTGGTCAATGTTTATGTTTGTCAGTTCAATTGATATTGCACCCTATTCAATTCATGTGTCAAGTACAAAAACAAATTTTGAAAACCTACTTAAAAGCACCATAGAAATGTCAAATTTTGTATGCAAAATACGTTTGTTGTTGCATAGAAAGAAACCTAATCTTAATTTAGAAGCACATCGCTAGAAATAATAGGCTTTAAATATCGGCTAATTTTTTGTCATTTTAACTGTGCTAAATTAGTCGTATATTCTCTTGTAAAGCAAACGTTTGTGTGTGGTGCTTAAAGCAAGCTCCAAATTGGAAATAATGCACATCTGTATGTGAAGCTTCTAATTTTAAAATTTGATAAGATTCTGTCCATGATCTTAATCATTCATTCGAATTGAGTGCAATAAAAAATTGAACTGGCCTCATTGTTTTAAAATGCCTACTGATTTTATAGAACATATGATCATATCAGTATTAAAGCCTTGGCAGAAAGCATTTATGTAAGTAATGCTTTTCACACAAGAAATGCACAAATAATAAATAAATGCAGCAATTAGAAAACTTACTATTCTAATAACGAGTAAAAATAAATAGTTCACTCAATAATCCCTCACTAGTATGTTACTGGCTTACAAAAAATATGTAAAGCATTATATTTAGTTGGTGTGTGTCGGAAGACAAAAATGATATATAATCCATTTTCTGTAGTAATTTGAGACACATCTGAGAATTCTGAAGTGAAACACTGGTGAGAAAACATCAGTCATGTATAGATCAGGATAATTATTAAAACTAGATGACTTAGAACAATAAATAAGTGTAAGCAAAAAATATCACACTATTGAATAGGAAGTTGTTTTATTAGAGTTTTCAGCTTCTGCCAAAACCTTCAGCAACTCAGTCCTAGCTTTACTTCCTATCCAAATGATTAGAGAGGCTCCACATATTAACTGAAATAATACACAATATATTAAATAACCAATAAATAGTTTTCAACAGCTTCAGGATATTACGAATAAAGAATAAAAATGAAAAACGAATGGAATTTATTTTCTCCCACACTGTGTTTAAAATGCATGTCATTATTAGACATAGTTCTTTTTTATTATCACATAGTGCATTTGTAAGCAGCTCAAATGTTTTTAAGCGCAATTCTTTGCTATCGTTTATTTGAAAACGACTAAAATTTATATAATTTTCGAATATTTCGTTATTCGAAAAAGTTGGTCTTTTAACTAATCCTTAGCGCAAAGTAGATTGCAGACAGTGTTTTGGGAGTTTTACATTAGAGTATGTAAAATCAGTGCTACATTAAGCTTGATATTTTAAATTGTACACATTTATTTTCAATTTCTTAACTTTTAACTTAATGAACAAACTTTGATACACATTCGAATGTATCTAATTGAAAACGAGTTGAATTAAAATCTTTTAAGTATCAAACGGTTGGTAATTTTCCCGTACTTCTTACAAATAATGACGTAAATTTGAGTATAGAAAAAATTTGTTACCTGCAATGCTGCAAAAAAGTAAGTGGCTGATGATATATGGTTATTTTCTATCACATCCTGCATTGATCTGAGTGTGGATCCAATATAAACTGCCACTAACTGAGCAGGAAACAGTCCAAAAAGTGATGCGATATGGTAAACTTTGGCACTCACATTACTTAACTGAAAAAGTATAAATTGTACGTAATTCGTGAGAGAAGAATTGTTTTGAGATTTGATAATATAAATTTTACATACCGCAAATATGGTATTTTGAAGTCCAAATGGAATAGGAGTCAGTCTTGCACAAAAAACAATCTTGAAACAGAGAGGTCCGGATATTACTTGCATTATAGCGGCAGCCATATCAGTTCGAGTAAATTTGTATAAGGAGGGATGATGTCCTACTACCTTTAATATATTATGGGCGATGAATAGTCCGGTATTTGCCCCACAAACCACTGAAATCAATAAATAACCTTTAGCTTATTAAAATGCTGAGTAAATTTTGTATTTAGCTGTTTCTAAATGATGTTAGAACAAATATTTTACATATTACAAACGTGATTTTTTTATTTAAGTAGAATATTTATGATGATATGATACAAATGAATCGATGTTTTAATTTAGTTATAGTAAGAAAACTGCTACTTTAAGCGTAACAAATAATGCCTTTTAACAAGTATATTTTTATTTTAAGGAACCTGCTCCCCTGCAATGCTGTGTTGGCGCTTGGAAGTTCCAAGAGATGAATTTTCAACATTTATAATGCAGTCTGTAAGCATGTAAGTCCTTCTAACTATTATTGTCTTGAGGGCGAAATGCATTAAAATTTCGAGTTTATCTCCAAATAGTTGCTTAGACAAATATGGCCAAGGATTACTTGGAAATTAAGATTTAAGGACTTAAGTGATTTAGTCACTCTTAAAGTTTATATTTGAGTTTGGTGGGAATAATGGTCAGTTTGATTTCCCGACACGCACTTTGTTGGCCGCATATCCGTAGACAAATATTAATTTTGATGAACGAAAAATGTTTGAGTGAAAATTATTCATTTTTTTCTGAATTTAACTGATACATATGTAGATTCAAACATAGTAAATATAATGTATACATTTAGCTACTTTCCGAAAGATGAAATGAAAGTAAACGCATTAGACACCGTTTTTTCCATTAGTTCCAGAACTTTCAAATAAAACGTGGCAAAAACATAAGAACTACCTTTAAAACATAAAAGCAAAAGCATACCTACGATAAGATTAAAAAGACGACAAGTACTTACAAGAAAACGAAATTGATAAACTTTTTTGTGTTACATCCACAATATATATATATATATATATTATATGGTATATATGGTTATTAATGTAATGTAAAGATACTATTATGTCGTAAATTACAATAATTAACCGTGATATTAGATCTCCTGTAACAGAATTTTGTAAAACAATTAAATAATGTTCATGTGCAAGGTTTGAGATTCGGCTTTTAAAATCACATGATCAAAACGCAACAGAACACATGTTCGACCGAAAATAAATACGATAAAAAATGTGTGAGCAGATTATATTTTCAACTTTAAACAAACCTACCAACGAATTTTATTGCTTGAGCCGAATGTGTAAAACATAAGTATGATAAATGTGAAAATCATCAGTGTGGAATAAATTAACAAAAAACTGGTTTTAGCAGCTCATTTTATGGCTTCAGAGCCATACAAGCCAAGCCATTTTATAGACAAGTTTAATATTATTTTTGTGACAAAAAATAGGAAAGTTAGTGGAACAAAGTCTTGTATTCTAAGAAAATAGGTGCAGTTCGAGCTCTGATTTTATTCTTAATCATTGACAATAATTCACTTAGCAATTCCTTTGGTATAGTAGCAGTACTTAGTTAATCTATGGTATTTACATATCATGTAGAGTTGATGGTGATTATTTGCTGAAATTTGTAACTAATGAGCTTATGCACTTACCCAGTAACAGTCCATTGGCAATTCCAAATAAATATCCAGAGGCTAAAACTAAAACTATGTAGCCTACACTGATAGGAAGGGAAACTATCACAAAAAGTACACAAATTGTAGCTGCTATAACGATACCGTCTTGCTTTTCGAGCCACAGTAAAACAAACTTAATGTAGGCCTTGCAGAGCACCAGAACAAATCCTATAACAACTAGAGTGGACAATATTGCTAAGATTCGTCCTATAGAGAGGAAATAGAGTGATGAACGAAATCTGAAACATCTTTGCCTGGACGTCTCGAATGAGTTCTCATAGTTTTCAATGGGAACGTTCATTGTTTTCCGTATCAACTGCTTCTTAAATACACCACAGGCCTATTTCTTTTTACACATACTTGACTACTGATGCACTGAATCTCTCTGAACTATGACTAGAATAATAAATGTATATTTCACAGCTACATATGAGATATCGTAAACAAACCACATAACCTAAATTTTCGATTGGATTCAGTTGATACGGAGCGTCTCATGTATTTTACACATTTTTCTATCTAACATCACATCGCAGTAAATGTTTACTTATTCATTAGTGTTAAASRAAATATCTCTGTTTATATATTTTTAATTGATTAGCTGGCATTAATTAATGTCAATAAACTAATGCGAATCTTCGACRWMGCTCRMTTGCTGATTATTTTATTTTATCTGCATACAGGGCGATGYAAAATTAGCGTTATTCCTCCGGAGGTTTTGTCTGGCGATGTTTTAGGAGGATGTACAGAAAAAATAGCAAGAAAAAATAATTGACATTAAAAACTGAGACATTTGCAAAAAACTATTTCAGAAAGACGGCAACAATGTTTTTCAACGTAATGTGCCTAATGAACATTACGTAAATATATACCGGTTGCTTCGTAATTATTAAAAACTCCAGTAACCTTTGAATTATACAGAAAGTGGCAATAAAATAGACAAGGGTCAACGGTAAATTCAACAGGATTCGTTGAACGTCGCAACGTACTTTTTCGAAATGTCAATTATTGTCCTCATAACCTTGAATTGATATATTTACAGTTTATAAATAAACATACATTTGCATCTTTAACACGTCTCTTTAACGTCTCCAAACAAGTTAGTCCCTGTGTATCACGGATGTAATCACCTTATTACCCACTCTTCTCGTATTCGGTTAATTAACTCCTGATCAATTTGTACCGGTGTTCAGCAATCCATTGGTTTAATGTGTCCTTGTGCTGTGTGTAGGAACCCTTCCCTGGTATTTATTTGGTGCCTGGGAAAGTGTCAGTTGTTGTTCAATGCTCTGAGTACCCATGGAAAGCTCTGGTCGTTGATTGAAAGAGTATATACTCTTTCAATCAACGCTTTGGTGCAATTATCCCCAATACTTGTTTCTCTGGAACCCGAACATCTATTGACGTTCCTTCCAGTGTCGCTAGCCCTTTGTTGGCGTGAGTTCTTACAGCTTTTGGCTATGTTACTGTGGCATTTCCCCAGAACTAATCGCATATATCCGCAAATTCGTGAAAGGAGCTTCAAAGTAAGTCACATTTTTAAATGCATTGTTATTATTGACAAAGGCTATCTACCTGAAACGATCTGTTAATGACAAAAAACATCATTGCGCTTTGAATTTTCATCAATAAATTGTAGAAGAGAAAGAACTTTTTTAATATAAAAAATGTGCGTAATTTGAAGCAAACGTATTTTTTTAATCCTTATGTATTCCAATATGCCAGCAATTAAAAATGGGACAATTTCAAAATAATACGTAATAACAAAGTTGAAATTCGATTTTCAACTGTTAATATCTTCTAGAAATAATTGAAAAAACATTTTTAATGTTTTTCTTCCTAAGTGAGCTCCTATTACCCCTGAAAAGGAATAATTGAAAGATGGTTGACTTTCTTGGGGATTCGGTCTGGGCAGTGGTGAAAAAGAAAAAGGAAAATCTTTTTAGCTACATAGCTTTCGGTGTTTTATTACCGCCTTCCTCAGGGTGCTAATTCTTTGACATAAGAAGACTGTGTACCCGTTCTTATGTCGAACATGATGTTATTTAGCAAAAGACAAATGTAAAAACATAACTTTGGCCTCCTGTATTTCTGTCTCCGTATTCTTTCGACCCCAGAAATCCGTCGTTAAATTTTTGTTACCTGCAATGCTGCAAAAAAGTAAGTGGCTGATGATATATGGTTATTTTATATCACATCCTGCATTGATCTGAGTGTGGATCCAATATAAACTGCCACTAACTGAGCAGGAAACAGTCCAAAAAGTGATGCGATATGGTAAACTTTGGCACTCACATTACTTAACTGAAAAAGTATAAATTGTACGTAATTCGTGAGAGAAGAATTGTTTTGAGATTTGATAATATAAATTTTACATACCGCAAATATGGTATTTTGAAGTCCAAATGGAATAGGAGTCAGTCTTGCACAAAAAACAATCTTGAAACAGAGAGGTCCGGATATTACTTGCATTATAGCGGCAGCCATATCAGTTCGAGTAAATTTGTATAAGGAGGGATGATGTCCTACTACCTTTAATATATTATGGGC